AGTCATCTAGGTCATGATTGTTCCAAAGATGCTTTTTCAAGAGGCAATTGGACTTTCTGTTTTTTCTTTGAAGACATTTCGCTTCTCATCTAAGAAGAAGCTTCTTGGAGAAGCTTCTTGAATGAGAAGCGAAACATCTTCAAAGAAAAAACAGAAAGTCGAGTTGCCTCTTGAAAAAGCACCTTTGGTACAGAGTTTTAGTAGATAAACTAGGTTTTAGTAGGTAAAAAATCAGTTTACTTTCAATAAATATGTGGTATCATTTCTACTTATTTAGAGTGCATTCATGTTATAACATTAGAATACAAGCTCATCTTACTATAAAGTAGTTTAGATTCTCAAAGTTTTGTAATGAGTTACCACAATCTTACCTTGTTACAACTGAAAACAAAAATATGACTCTTATAATAAATGAATGTTCATTTTATTCCTGTTGTAGTGCTATATCGAAAAGGCCCTCCTTTTTACCATGCCAGGTATAGCATTAAGGTTTGGATATAGTTTTCATTTTTATTATATACAATGCTTATTTTTTATGCTACTGGAAATTATGATTATATGTTTGTTTCTAACTTGCTTTGACATAATTCCGAATATTGTTTTTCCAAAGCTGAAGCTAAGAGTAACCTCAAATTAGGAGATCCCATGGGTGGCCATCTTCAATAAGAACGTTCAGATAACCAATCCTACAATGGAATGTTCTGTTACCCACAGAATAGCCCTGGAGATGCCCTGAGATTCAAATAAGGGTCTCAAACACTTAAATAATTGGAATTTCAAACATAAAGAACAGTTATGTTGATTTTGGCATACTTATATTGCATTATCAGTATGTATTTTATTAAAAGCTGACCTTGTCTTTAAATGCTGCTTTGATGAAGACAAACCAGTGTTGCTTCTTTTATTAAAGTAATTAAAACATGAAAGTGGGTGGTGATGAGTACCTCTCCTCACAAATATTTGTTCTGGAGGACCCTCACTGATGTCCAGAGATGATTTGGAAAGGAGGAAAATGGCTTTGGTGGCTGGAGGAGGGGATAAATGTTCATGCATTTGATAGAATCAGTCTCATTATCGTAATGTGACATTGAATTTTACCTTCCCTTTAATCTACGTAGTCTACTTATCTATTTGAAAGAATACTGTGGGAAACTCAGAAAAAAGACTTAAAAGAATATGAAAAGAGATCTAATATCCTATTGTTTGCTGAATTGATTCTTTCACTTATACTGAAGGAACCATCAGTATTTTAAGTTATTTGGGTTGTGATTTTTAAATACATGTTTTAACTTTTCATCCTAAAAAAAATTTGGGGGTTATTTTCCAGCTATTCTGTGATTGCTGAATTAATTAATGATGATTTTGATGGACCATTGCACAGACCATTCAGTTGGAAATCTTTGTCTGGACTGAACAGAACTACAGCAAACGTTTCCAAGGTAGCCAATAAGAAGAATAATTTTAAATTACACCAAAAATGCTATGGAGGAAAATGGATGTTTAACTTTAAGTGCAGTAGGTGAAATTTTACAAAGCGTGTAATAAAATAATTTTGCAATAAATGAGAGTAAGCATATATGTGTTTGTATGTATGTTTCTGGTTAAGAGTGGAAAATCATCTTTCATATGTTTCAGTGTGTGAATTGTAAAGCAATCACAAATGTTGTCTGGTTGACTGACGCTGCTGTGATGGAGAAAAGATTCTCCTCTTTTCCATGTTTAATATTCCATCACAGATATGAACCAGATTTTAGATGCCATTTTTCAAAAAAAATTGCTTTAAAAAGCTAAACTTTCATAATAGTGGTCTGCTGCTATACAGTATTTCAGCTTTCTAGTTTCTAGGGGTCTTGAGTTGTTCAGACTGTATTTCTCTAATAATTGAGGTTTGCTTGAATACTTAGATACCCATTGCTTTTACAAATCACTTTTCAAATATATATTTTTATTTAGTTTGTCCTAATATACTATTTAGGATAAATGTTGATAATCTCCACTGTACATTTTAGAAAGAGTAAATGGAAGGAAGGAAGGAAGCAACTGAATTATAGTAACTAGAGATGAAAGTTACCTCTGAAGGCCAAGAAACCTAATTTTGAGGGCTCTGCACCACTTCACATTCAAAGCCAAATGGTGCTTCGGATGACCCAGGAGCACAAATAGAATACATGTCCAAAACTCCTAAAACCACATGCATACTTAGGACTGGGTTGCAACAAGCAGCTCCATAATCCTAGGAAATGACACAACCGCTTTCAGGAGTTGCAGGCAAGTTTACGTTTCCATCCCTGCACACTCCAAAGTATATTTTGCCTTTGAATCTAAAGTGCTATGCAACCCTCTAGGTTACCTGTTTTTACCTACACATTTTTCTCACTTTAGTTTCCTCTGAAAATTAGCTCTAGAAAATGGTTTGGAGCTTCCCGAGGTGCAATAAAATGATAAAGAGCTTCCAATACTCTTCAGAAAACGATAAGATTTTTTATAAAACTATCTTACAAAAGGACTCTCTTACTCTTGTTTTTTTATTAGAATAATTGATGCTGTCTGTCCCATTACTTGCTATAAAAAGTGAATGAACCTTAATTTGAAGTTTTCAGGAGAAACGTCTGTTGTATTTACATTTACTTGACATTTTGGTAACATAATTTATTTGTCACCAGGAACTCATGTTCTGCTATTTGATTAAGCCATCTGATATGAATGAAAAAGAAATGCTTTCACCTGAATGTCTCAAAAGAATGAAAGTCCAGGTATGTATGTTTCTTCCCAACTTAATGTTTTGTCAGAAATGAACATTGAATTGTTTATTTATTTACTGCTACAGTAAATAAATATACTGTGTTATTTATTCACTATCAGTTCTCTAAAACCAAATTAGAAGATCTCTTCTATATATTAGAAGAGATTGAAATACATAATTTCTCTCTAAGAAATAGGAATGATGCATGATACAGGTATATTAAACTAATTCGTCCAAAAATAAATTACAGGTAGTCCTCATTTAGTGACCGCTTTGTTTAGCAACCATTTGCAGTTATGATACTGATGAAAAAGTAATTTTGCAGCTTTACATTTACAAACTTTCCAGATCTGTAAAGCAAAGGAAAGCTTAAGTAAGATAAACCCGCAGTTTCACTTAGCAACTGCCTCACTTTACAGTCAAGTTGCCAGTCCCATTTTTTAATCACTAATAAGGATTGCCTGTAATTGTGTTTGAAAGAGCAATGCTAAAAATATGCTTTGGTATAGTAAAATAAACTATGGAAAATAATGGTTTGAATGCAAAATACTCTGTTCTTTAATTTTAAAGGAATTTGAGCGTATCTTATCTTGAAATTAAGCAGCCCCATCAAATCACAAGAAGTCTATGAAGCATTTACAATACTAGAATGATATGTTCAAAGAGAAAAGGCTTTTTAAAAAATCTTATAATATACGCAGTGCTAAAAATCAGCTATGTAAAACATTCATCAAATAGTAGGTTGATCTTTTAAAAAAATGTAAAGGTCAGCCAAATGAAGTGCTATTGCAACTAGTACAGGAAGTTATTAGTGGTAATTACTTTCTGTGAAAATGCCATAAATACTGAATTAGCGAATGCCAAAACCTCAATTGGGAATGTGCACATTGGGTAATTCTAATGATTTGCCACTCCGCCTATCTACTAATAAGTGTGATAGTGATGCAAGTACTGATTTCAGGATGACAAAGATATTTTCATAAATAATCAAATTTACAAATATATACTTCTTTCACACACACCCCAAAATAACAAGGATTATCTGTATTTTCATTGATCAACTGTCGCCTTGTTTAGAGATGAAGCAACCATTATATATTGATTAGAGGGGTATTTAAGAAAGAATCATTCTTCCATTTCCACTAATAGTCTCAGTACTATTTGTAGTTGCACCAATGATCATGCCTCTGGCTTGCTATACCTTTGTGTGAACCAAATACTTACAATAGGTAGAAGCAGCCCAAATGCAGTATTTCTCCTTAAGCTATCTCTTTAGCAGGAAAATACATATTAGCTAACAATATTATTCAGCAGCCATATTTACATATTTTACTTATTTTATAACCAGTATCTTTCTCTTTAAAGGAATTGATCCTAAATCGCTGGGTTTCATCCTGTGAACGTGGTGAACAAGAAGAGGTGTGAAAATTGGAATCCAAAAGTTGAGCAATATTAATAATAGAACTGCAGCAAACTAAATAAATTTTAACTATTCTTTCTTTTAGCATGTATATATTAAGTATATATAATACAGAGCCCTACAAGTTTGATTTTTTATGAAAGCTCAAATGGAGAGTGACAATTAAGATGAGCATGTTTTATGACTATTAGCTTAATACTTCTAGAGTTAATTAACCTCTACTATAGTCTTGGCTCAAAACGTTGTTCTAGTTACACCATGTATGTTGGAGATTGCTTAAATCAATTAAACAAAAAAGTAGATTTTTTTTAATTTCTGTCAACCAAAATTTTTTGCTACATTATACCAAATAAAAGTACAGTACATTTTATTCATATGGTTCATAGTTATATGTCACTTCCAGCCCTATGATTCTATGAAAGCTGAATTTAATTTTGTTGGTTGGTAGGAATTTCCCTTAACTTCTATTCATGAATACACCCACAGAAAGAAAAATGTCATTGTCTTTGCTTCAGTGCTATCTGGAGCAAAATTAAAATATTAAAAATTGTTTTCCACTTCCAACAAAAAGGAAGTGTTTCTTGTTCCTTGATCCCATCCATTTTTTTTCTGTTTGTAGATTCTTAGACTTCGTATCAATGTCTATAAATTAAAATAATGCTAAATATAATTATTTAGCCAAATAGAAAAGATGTTTATTAGAAAATTTACATTGTGATTCAGTTTCTGCAGTTTTATGGATAATAGGAAATAGTTCTGATTTCTCATGGATTTCTGTCCAATTAAGTATGATGGTAATGATATCCACTTTCCTTATAACAAGATAGGAACAACACCTTATGTCTTAACTTGAATATTTTAATTTTACTTACAGTAAGTGCTTTTGTCTAAAGTCAAATGGCATTGGTAGAAGTACTGCCTTTTTGAGCAGGATGGTCAACAACATAAAAACCATTCTTGCATATTTCCTTGTAGATGGTGATATATTTGGAAGCTTTTCTTGTTCGGGGAATTACAAATTTCTCTGTAAATTCATTTTTATTCATTTGCTGTTGCTTTTGGGCACTCAACACACAATTAATAAATGTTAGTGCAAATGTATAACAATTATGGAAACATTCTTCATACCTGTTAAATAGATAAAGAGAAATGAGTCTCAAAGTAACAAAAACAAAGCTCCTGCATAACTACTGTATATTTTATGAACTTCTGGTATATTTATAACACATTTTCTCAATGGGAATAGAATTCTAAACAACTCTTAACTTATTTAACATAATTATCCTGCTCTTTAACCAAAATTTGTATCATGCTCAGCTAGAATAGAAATAAATAGTGGCAGCCTTATAAATAGAATAGATTTACAAATAAGAAAAAGTGGCAAAGAATATTGCCATACAAGGATACTGCAGTAAATTATTTACTAGTCCTGTGCATCCTTTGAGCATTATTGCTCAAAGGATGCACAGGACTTTGAGCATTATTTGAAAATGTGAGTTTAGTAACTTTTTCCATGGAAGGCTGAAATTAGATTGCTTAGGTGATTGTAGGAAAGTATTGCACTTATCATGAAAACGCAATGCCCCTATTGTGATTTTAAAAAGCAAATCTGTTTATAATTTTCTGCAGATCAAAAAATATTTTTCAATACACATGGTAGCCACCTAGATTATTCTCATTAGAAGGTCACGTAGTTCCTCTCCTTCAGATGATAGCAAGATATGCAATTTATTTTTCCACACAGGCTACTTTTATGGAATAAAAGTATAAAATTCTGCAATTGACAAGGAGCTCAAAATTATTCCGATTCCAATAAATTAATGGCCCAGTTGTGGTCTTCTTAAGTCGAGGACTAACTATTTAATTTATTGGAATCAGAATAATTTTGAGTTTATCAAATGCAGAATTTTGTATGAAAGTTTCATTCCATAGAACAAGCCTGTGTGGAAAAATAAATACTTTGCTATCATCTGAAGGAGAGGAATGATCTTTATGATGATCTATACGACCTTTCTTGGCACATTTGTTAAGTGAAACACTGCAGTTGTGAGTAACATGGTTGAATCTGGCTTCCCCAATGACTTTGCTTGTCAGAAGGCTGCAAAAAGTGATCACATGACTCAGGACACTGCAGCCATCATCAATACATGCCAGTTGCCAAGTGGCCACATTTTGATCATGTAACCATGGGGATGCTGTAACAGTTGTAAGTATGAAAAACGGTCATAAGTCACTTTTTGCAATGGTATTGTAACTTCAAATGGCCACTAAAGAAATGTTTGTAGGTCAAGGACTACCTGTATCCCAATTTTTCAAAAATGTATTTTGAAAAGATCTTTCTAGTTTGCTTCTGAAACCAGTTTTCTTTTTCTGTCCCAAACATATAGAAATTACATATAGAAATATTATGGAACACTGGAAGTGCTTTCTGTTGTAAAATAATCAATAACCTTCCAAACTTTTATCACAGGTGGTTTAATTTCAATCTATTCGTTTAGGACTCTTGTTAAGTAAATTAAACACAGATAGTCCTTACTTAACGACTGCAATTGGGATGGGAACTCCATCACTGAATGATGCAGTCGCTGAGTGAAAGATCACATGATCATTCCTGGCGTACAGTGTCAGTTCTCCTGCAATCATTAAGCACAATGTGAATGTAAGTTGCAACTTACAATTTACTGCTGGCTTCCCTGCTGAATTTGCTTGTCAGAAGCCAGCTGAGAAGATTGCCAATGGCAGTCATATGACCATGGGATACTGCCACCATATAAATGAGCATTTTTTTTGGTGCCATCGTAAGTTCAAACAGTTGCTAAACAATGCAGTCATTAACCCAGGAGTACCTCTATTTCTTAGTATAGGCTAATGAAGACAAAGGTTCTGAAGAGGTTTATTCTGTCCAAATGATTGCATGAGACTCATCTGTAACTCACAACCTAAGCAAAGTCCAAAAGTTTAACATGTTAGTTTTGCTATCTTAGAGGCAGTCACCAATACCATTTTGAATTCTGTACCTGTGTGGAAGCCAAATATCTGTTGCTGAAAATTGTCCTAGATAGGTATCCCATTGGTTAAGGAGACCATACATATCAGGCTGCACTAGTGGAATGCTCACACATTGTTCCCAGCCATATTCGGCAATGGTAATACCAGTTTCATTGTAATTATACACCAAACCTACAAATACAAGAACAGATGAGATCAGAAGGGCATAACTGCTCTGTATACAATGGTAATATGGAAAGCCTGATTATCATATACTAGTAACCGTTTTTCTCATTCTGTTATAATTCTGAAAACACTCTTACTAATTGTAGCTAGGACACATATTTATTTATTAACAAATTTGTATGCCCATCCATCTAACCAATAGAATTTTGGTCAGCAAACAGAAGAAAAAAAACACAATAATTATGTGTCATGAAGTTAGTGGCAACCACCTAGATTCTCTCCACAATACACTATCATAAACTATTACATGTACTTGCATAAGAAACAGATATATGCTGTACTTCACTAAATATCCTGGTTACAGTACCTGGAGGATAGAGGGGGAACCCAGGTCTTTATGGCTTTCTAGAAGGCCAGCAGAGTTGGAGCCCTCAAATCTCTGGGTGTTCCAAAAGGCAGAAGCTGTGACAGAAAAGGGCACATTTCCTAGGCCCCACGCTAGGTGACACTGCTTCATAGTGGCCATTTCATATTGCTATCAGCACTGCGTGTAACCAAACTACTTTGTAGGATAGAATATACAAATTGTTTGTCCTGTACAGTATATGCTTACAATGCATGAAGACTTCATATTAGAAGGTTAATTATATGTTTTTCTTACCATTGGTATTAGTTATTCCAACATGAAGGTCAGAATCTCCATCATAATCTCTGAAAAGACATTTAATGTTTTACTTTGGAAAAAGACATTAGAGGTTTTTTTTTTACTTATTTGAAGAGTTTTTGATAAATAGGGTGACGTAATGCTATTCAAATACAATTAGAGATACAAGTTATTTGCTTAGCAAGAGTAATTACTTCTAAAAACCTCTGAGCAAAAAGCTCTCCAGTAATCAGATGTGTAAAAATCCTTTTCTACATTGGTGCTTGCCTTATATTCCAGTAATGATAGAAGGCAGCTTTTATATGCCTTGTTTCTAACCATAGAATAACAAGGAAGACCCATACCTTAGAAATGTTCCTATAGTGGGCTTCAGTAAAAAAGCACATCTTTCTCGGTGTCCATTAACAAATGGGCTTGGAATACTGACAGGTGCTTCTTCCAGACTTCCGTAAATCAACCTTTGCCCACATAATGGACAGTTCTCGGGAACTAAGCAGCCAAAAATGTCTTTGTCACAGTGGGTGACTTTAATTAAAGCTCTCTCTGAGTCCAAAGGTTGCATAATCAGTCCTTCCTTGGGTAAATGAACCTGCTTTCCAACTTGTATTTAATAAACAGAAGCCAGTAGAATTGGACATTGAAAGAAGGAAGAGATTAGTTGAGAATGACAGGTCCCAATACCAATTCTTCCTCTACCGTGGACTGAATTAACAAATGAGATACAAGATATGGGAGGGACAGCTTTTACTGGACATTCTTTTAAAGAGATAGTGTTCACTTTTTGTATTAATTGTATCTGGTACTTGTGTGCTGACTTAATTTTTGATAAATAGAAACCATCACATTTGTTTGTTATTTAGTCTGTAGAATAACCTGTTAATTAATGGTAAACAGATACATCTATAGATCTATCTCCCTTGATTAAAATGAGAAATAAACAAATTTAGAATTACCACCATCTCTTCCTGACAAAGATCTTCTGACTTTTGCAATATAGGCAAAAATGTAAACTGTTTTCTAGTTTATTTGGTCATAAACCAAAACTTTCCAAATACAACCCTACTATTCTTGTTAGCTGTACTGGCTGAGATTTTCAGGAACGGCAGTACCAAATCATCAGGAAGAAACCAGATTGGGAAATATTAATTTTGTCCTCGGCAGGAAAAGATCAGCATCCTAAATTTAATGCTGGCTTATCATACAGTTATTAAAGCCAGGGGACGCCTTCTCTTTTTATTAATATTCTATTACCGTAATTTGAATAATACAAATTTATTCTGACATACAAATGAATGCAAAAAAAAAGTATTGCAGACAACTCACAATGTTGTCCAATAAAAACATAAAGATATGAAAGATCAAATAAAAATAAAAATTTCCAGATCTGAAACAGTTGCATACTTCTCATAAGCTACCAGATATCAGAGTACAAGGACCCAATACCACAAGTTTCCAAAAGTTCTATCCCCAGTTCTAATTAGGTAGTACTGTTATGACAGCAATAAGCTACTCTCTGCATACTGCGCAGGTTGTATGTTTCCACAAAACATAAGCATCAAGAATATTTGCATCAAATTTGGAGGAAATGCTGATTTTCCAATTATTGCTTGACATAACTAGTTGCTATCTTTACAAAATCAGAAGGTTCATTTAACTGCTTATCTGCTTTATGCTATATAAACTATTATCTACTCTATCCTTACCTTTAGTCATGAGACTGCTGTAACACTTTCCTAATCTCTATGCTCTGCCTTTTAATCTATATATTTTACAAGATAACTTCAAAAGGAGAATACAGCAGGAAGTTTGGGTTAGATGGGGTGTAAATTGATTTAAAATGTGATCATTGTTATTAGCGCCAGAATCGTTGCCAGTTACTCCACATACACTGAAGTTTTAGGATACTCATATTTTCTCCGTGTGTTTGTGTACACATACAAGACGGATTTGCTGATTTAAAATGCATTTTATAAGTTGAGTTCTGATGCATCTATATAGCTCGATCTTTCAAGGTATGTCAAGATAAATCCTTTAATGTCCCAGTTTCACATCATTTTTTTTTTTTTGCTGCAATTTAAAAATTTTATCGCAATAAATCTACATCAATTGGCCCAGCAGACTGCATGTCTATTTCGCGCGTCAAAAACCAAGACCTTCTCCTGTTGCTTATTGTGAATGTCCCTCCATTCCCTGCCAGATAGGCAACAGGAATCATAGATATACCAAAAATAGTGGGTCCCGAAATCCTATCACTTTAAACTGAGGAGGGGACATTCTGGCCGGCAATCTCGCTTCCACCAAGGCGGCCACTGTCCCGCCTTCCGGATGTACTGTATACCCGGGGAGCCGCGTTAGTCTATGGTAGCCAAAAACCAGGAGACTGCCCATTTCCCAACTGACAGTTTTTTTTATTAAAAGGCGGCTTTCCAATAACTTGTCAGTCTGGAAGAGGGAGGCCGATCTCCTTCCGATATTTAATTTATCATAATTGGCCTTCCTGCTGAAAGATCTATACAGCCCACCCTCTCGCGTGTGAAGGAAAGCCACTCTCTCTCTCTCTCCTGCTCTATGGTAGAGCGTTTCATTCATAATTTCCGGCCGGAAACCAGTTCCTGTAGCAAAGGCCCGGCTCTCTTTGTTTGGGCTCCCAAACAGCTTTCCCTTCCTCTCCCTCCCCCACCTCTCCCCGGCGCTACAGCGGAACCAAAATGCGAGGAGCCGCGCAGGGAGGAGACATCGAAGCAGGAGCGGTGCCAAAGGAGACATGAGCAGCACGAAGGACGTGACCTGCAGGTCTGAGGGAGCAGTTACCGCTTGGGATGAGCGCGCTCTGCTTTCCTCCCCACCCCGAAAAACGGACGGGCGCTTGGAGAGGCTCCGCCCACGGGGACGGAGGGGGGGGGGAGGGAGGAGGACGGGACCGAGATGCCTCCCGGCTCCTTTCTCGCTCTCTTCGTCGGTCTCCTCCATCTCCGACTAAGCCTCGAGAGGAAGGGAAAAGACGGAGAACCGATGGCTCCTCGTCCTTGTTTCGCTAACTCGCCAGCCCATCCCTTTCACGCGGTCTCTAGTGGCCCTCTTTCACTTCCCCCAGTTGTGTGTCTGTGTGTGTGTGTGCGTGTCTGTTGTAGCCCTTCAATATGCGCATTACACACAGAGAGACCTTTTTCTGCTAACTCGCCACCCCATCCTTTTCATGCGGTCCCCAATGGCTCTCTTTCACTTCCCCCAGTTGTGTGTGTGTGTGTGTGTTGTAGCCCTTCAAAATGCGCATTATACAGAGAAGAGCTTTTTCCACTAAGTCTCCATCCCACCTTTTCACGCGGTCCCTCGTGGCCCTCTTTCACTTCCCCCACTTTGTGTGTGTGTGTGTTGTAACCCTTGAAAATGTGCATTACGCATAGGGGAGCTTTTTGCAGAACCCCTTAAAAGATCTAAACCTCATTTCCCCTAAATGATTCCTAAAGGAAAGTGTTTCATAGGACCAAGGCCTTTGTGCAATTGACCCACAAAACACCTCAACACCTCTACAGGTCAATCAGATCAGTTCCGTTCTCTTAGTTCCTTATTATAAGAGATTGAAGTTTCACGCAGGATGAAAGTATGGCATTAATCCTGCGGGTTGCTGATTTGCCCCAAAGTCTCTTTATTGATAATCGGGAATCTTTTTAGGATATAAAGTACATGCGTTCAGAATCTTAAATATATATTTTGTAAATTCTTTTAAAAGCGCCAATAAAACAACATTGCTAGAGGAATCAGTGCAATTTTATTTGAACCATGAGTTTAGAATCAACCTCTTATTTTAGGACATTTGTATATTTCAGTATACAGATATTTCACATTCTGCTTTTCTGAACTTTCTGGAGAAAATCTTGGCAGATTTATTCATGGGCTTGACAAATATTGAAAGAAGAATTATGTATTTTGACATCTGTTGCTGTATAACTTTACATTTATATTATTGTAGGTATTTTGTACAAGGAGTATGTCGTGAAGGAAATAGGTGTCTGTTTTCCCATGACTTGTCTACCAGCAAACGATCTACTATCTGCAAATTCTATCAAAAAGGACAGTGTGCCTATGGAACTCGCTGCAAGTATGTGTTATTAGTTTCCAAGAGAAAACCTGCAGTTATTTTATTATGTTAAAAGAAATTTAAGAAGCTGGTTATTGTTTGTGTACTTCTTGTACTATGTGCCAGTGCATTTCTTGTAATTTCTTACTAGCACTGTTTGCTGTAAGATGATTGGGAGCTGAAGGAATCTGGGAAAGCCTCTTAAAAGAGGAACTTTTGAATTTTGATAACTGTTTTAAAAGAAACTGCAGAGAGATATGGTCTATAAATAGGTTTCACTTTTAGCGAGATGGCTTTCTAAAGGTTTGCAAGTTTAGCACCCCGATCATCTGCATATCTACTCCAAAATAAGTGAAATTCAGCAGGTCTTACTCCCAAATAAGTGACAAACTTGGCAATCTCAAAGTACACTGATAATGCGATGTTCAGACCCCAACAGTTAAAAGGAGGAAAGACTCTCATGACTTTGTAATTTAATTCTTTTTTTACTTTTTTACTTGAACTCCAAAATCCAGTTCAGATATAAATTATATGTTAAACTACTGAGAAGTCAGAAATCCTGATCTATTGTAAAATACCCAGAGATCCACCAATAGATGCTGATTTACTTTCTATACATATCCACATCTTAAAATTATAATCCTGCACATGCTTGAATATTTTTATTAAATTCAGCAGATTGAATTAAGATTGTTAAACTAGAATATATGACAATAATCCATATTGAATTTAATGAGTGGCTATATCGGACTACCAAACATTACTATGAGTGAAGTTTTTTTTAATCACCTGGAATTCTACTATATATCATTATATTGCTTTACAATTAAGTTATATGGAACTTCGAATTTTACAGGATCTTTTATATATAGTTTTAGTTATATTATAAAGTTAATCACTCAGGCATTTAAATAACAAAAAGCCTGTTAATTCTTACTTCTTTTATCTTCGGCATCTTTCTCCTAGAATTAGAATAATTTAGGTTCCTACATTGAGATTATCAGTTCTGTGAAACAAATCCATATTGCAAATATTGCTATCTTTCAAACCATTAGAAATTTCGCAATAGCAGAGTCTTATCTTTGTGATCAGTGAGCTTTCTGAAATACACGTCTTTATAGGTTATTGTTGTTTCTCATTTGTTAAGATATGATCACGTTAAACCTCTGGGGTCCTCTGCATCCGGGGGCCCAGTGGGTTCTAGACCACTTTACATTGCTGCACCACCATTCCAAAGACTTAACTCTCCATCAGAGCAAACCCCAAGTGTTACCAAAAGTAAAGTACACGAATCTGGAAAACGTGAAAAGAAAACCTTAGTGCTCAGGGACAGAGGTGAGTAAGAATGGGTCATTTTTTAAATGGATTTTCTTTTTTCTACTGGTTCTTTAAAATGTAAAATCTTTCAATCAGGTTTTATTCCTGGTTAGATTACAGATATACCCATATCATTTTGTTGGAAGCAATAGAGAAGCTGTTTGTTATTGGTTTCTAAGTTTTCTTTTAAATCTAATCTGCAACCCTGGTATGGTATACAGTCTCTCATCAAAGTATTAACCAAGCCTAATCTTGTTTAGCTTTTTGAAGTCAGCCATGATCAGCCATCTAACTGGACTTGACTAGTTCTTCGTGTCCTATCTTTTCAGTTGTTTTAAAGCAAATAGACCTATTTTTTTCTATAAAAAAAAAACCCCAACCTATTTTACTATGAAAAGTAACGAGTTGCATATAATTTTCCTCTGTCATTTACCATTATATCCATTCCCCTTATATTTCATTTGCCAATAATGGCAAGTATGTTATACAAAGTGCAGTTGTTCAAGCCAAGGATAGATACATCCAAAGTATTTGCTTTACCAGACATCTGAAAATACAAGGCACATCTAAACACTTAATGATCATCCTTTGCCAGCTGTCTGTAGAACCAGGTCTTTGGACACATGGCAATTGTCAGCATTCCGTCCATTGGAGGCATAGTTCATCATATTGGTTAAGAAACGTTTATGTAAGAAAGCTTCCAACATGTCTCATACCATTCATACCTACCTATATCTTGAGGTGAAGATATTTTTTTTACTATTTCTAGCAAATGACAGGGAAGACCTTTTTGGTGCTGGCATCGTGGATATAGAATGGCCTTGTCTTAGAAGCTTACCTGAAGTCAGTTGAAAATTTTTTTTAATAACCTGCTAGGGTTTTATAGATCCTGACTTTTGCTTTTAAATATTTTAAGACTTGCTTTTTGTGGTTCGTATTGCAATCATTTTTTAAATTTATGTATAATATCCAGAGGATTTTATGGGATAAATATAAAGAAAATAATTGGGTCCAATATTCTCTCATTTGCTAGACTGTCCAAGAAATAGATCCTACCTTAAACTGTGTAGTTAAGGGCAGACCTGATTCATAATGGGTGAAGTCAGAAAGTAAGTTTAGCTCCGGTTCCCACCTCAGTAGTGATATTGAATTGCATTTCTCGATGTTCTTCTCCCTGATTGGATGGCTGCTACTTATGGAGGGAGAATAGTACGTGCTGTGTTTGGAGACTCATGTTGTGGCCAAAATATGCTCAAGCCTCACCTCTAAAGTCCTTGAAACAAGTTCTTTTATGTGCACTCCTCTGGTTGTCATTACTGGTATTTTGTTAATCTGCAATGGTTTTCATCTTCTGTTGTAAACTAAGAGATTATGTTGCTGCTGCATGGTTTTGTAGGCAACTAATAGCCATAACTTTGTGGTTTTACAGTATGCCACTGGAGATTATAATAATTACTATGCTTTGAAGTTGAAAGCAGATTTTCCATGTTTGATGGAAGCACATCAACTGCTATTAAAATTCAAGCTTAGAAATACTTGCTAATTCCCCCTGCTTTACGGATTCCATGAGAATCATGGCCTGTTTTTAATGTGATCAAATATTTTTTCTTCCTATTCCAAGACTTATGTGGAACCAATGAAGAAAGGGCAAGGCCCGGGTCAGTAAGTGACTTGGCATGTTGCAGTATGCCAGCTGACATACCAGAAACAAAGCCCCATTCGTATTTAGATGCTATCCGCAGCGGGCTTGAAGATGATGCTGAACCTGGCAGCTCATATGCATATGACGAACAGTTATGTCCCTACGCAGCAGCCGGCATGTGCCAGTTTGGGGACCGGTGCCTCTACCTCCATGGGCAAGTGTGTGAAATCTGTGGGTTGCAAGTACTCCATCCCTTTGATCCAGAACAGAGGAAGGCACATGAGAAGGTAAACATGACCAGAAATAAAACTTAACTTGGCTCTGTTATTTTCAAATCAAATCATTATTTAATTGACCAAAATAATCAGGCCAACTAATATTACAGGATGTAAAATATAAGAATGACAAAAGAGTGAACAATTGGGTATGTAAAAATGTGGAACTGGTCCTCATCTGATTTACTAGCTCTTGCTATGCTAGTGGCCAATTCCTGGTGGATTTTATGTACTGTTGCACAAAACATGACAACTGTGTATGTTATGGGGAGGGGGATAGGTATTACCACAGGTTATAGACTTACCATATTTTTCGGAGTATAAGACGCACCTTTTTACCCCCTAAAAGAGAATGAAAATTTAGGTGTGTCTTATACACCGAATGTAGCCCCGCCCACCCACTGGCCCCCACCCTTTGGCCTCTGCTTCCCAGCAGTTTACCTCCTTGCAGCAAGCAGCAAGAAGAAACAGCTGGTTTCAGCTTCAGCACCCCTAATTAGCACAAGTTGATTGGATTGGCCTCCCGACTTGCAGCTGTTTGGCTCTCAGCTGTTTTGCAAGGCCTCTGCTGCTTGCTGCAAGGAGGTAAAATTCTGGGAGATTTTTTTTTCTTGTGCCAATCAAGCTATGCTGAAAACGAAAATGAAAGTAAAGCAGGCTATTTGCTGTTTGCTGCAAGGAGGCAAAATTGCTGGGAGGCAGAGACAGATTTATTTTTCTTGTTTTCCTCACCAAAAAAGATAGGTGCATCTTATAGCCTGGAGCGTCTTATACTCTGAAAAATACAGTAGTCTGAAATCAGTATTGGGGAAACGAGTATTTAAAATATCCTTCGAAAATTATCACTGAAGAAAAGCATGCTTAGCCAACTCAATTTGCCCACAAGGGCATATATCTTCCCGCAGAAGCGGCTGAACAGACAACATAACCAAAATATAAACGTGATCAAAGGTTTAATGCAAACCTAATGAATGCTTTTTATTTTCCATTAGAAGAAAACACTGTATAAACCTTGGGTTTGTATAGTTCCTCTCCTCTTTCAGACCTGCAAGAAAGAAATTGCAGTACCCCATAACATCTGAATATGGGGAATGGTAGCTTCGTGAAAAAGACTATATGATTTCTCTACCTAATCACATAGTGAAAAAGCAATTTAAGTCTTTAATAAAAAATGTCAGAAAGAAATATGGGTCCAATCATATTAATTCTAACTTCTTTTATATTTTAGAAGAATGCATTTGTTGTTCATTGTATGTTATATAAAGTTATTTGGATTATTGGAAGAATGTACCTAGTCTTGTTTTAGATCAATTAATGTTCTCTATTAACATGCAGATTCCTTAATCCAAGGGAATGTGGCTCATAGAATCAAACAAAGATGACCCTCATTATTTATTTGAGCTCTATTTTATTTTTGCTTAAGAACTGCAGAAACAAAACTAGACATAAGATGTTGGTGAAACACACTGTACTTTACACATGTCCCAAAGCCTATTTCTTCCTATTTGCACATGCATAAAATACACAGAATGTATCCCAAAAGTTCTCCTCCAAACACAGCCATATGCCTAAATCCTTTAATAGGGATAAGAAGATCTGAGCTATATTTACTAACCGCAGATAAGCAGAACTGTGGTTAATTGACCTATAGATTATAGAAGCCACCTGTACAAAATATGGTTAGATTTTTTTTCTCTAATATGACTTAAGTGAACTTAGAAAATCATGGCGAACTGTGATTAGTTTAAACAGATATTTTTGACTGATTCCACAATAACATGAAAGTAGGAGAGGAAGAATTGCATTGAAGTTTAGCATTCTATTCTGAATATAACTCATTTATGAATGAAGACAAATATACATGTCCCAGACAAGGTTGCAGGATCCAATCCGGGTCAGTCACTGGCATAATCATTTACCTGTGTGTGGCAGTTCTCTTGTGCTGCTAAAATCCCTGTTTGAAAAATAAACATACAGCTAATCCTTGACTTAGGATCCTTTGCTTAGCAATTGTTCTAAGTTACAACAAGCCTTCCCAGACTACATATGACAGTTCTGGTCTCCCCCAGTCACATGGTTGCATTTTGGCTCTCAGCAGCTGGCCCACATTTACAGCTGTTTGCAGTGCCTCACAGTTACATGATTGCAATTTATGACTTCTTTGTTGGAAACCAGTGTTTGGTTTCTGGCAGAAAAAAACATTTGTTCCAGACACTTAATTCACTTAATGTCCACAGCATTTGCTTAATGGCTGCAGTGATTAAGGACCAATGTGAAAAAGGTCGTAAAATCAGGCATGGTCAGGTGATGATCCACTTAATGTCCAGCATGACAAACAACCATAATTCTGGGCCCAATTGTCAAAAGTCAAGGACTATCTGTAATTAAATTTTTGCAAGTTTTTTCTTTCCCTTTATCAGTTTTTCAATCAGCCTATTTCCCTTTTAATTTCTCATTTCAGGCACTCTGTTAACCAATATTACATTAAAGTTAACACCTACAAATGTTAAAAGTTATTCATTCCTGTTCAGCTTATGACTTATTGTGGCAAACTTTGTTTATCTGTTGTATTGGCTGCATGTTGTGGAGGTTTCCTATACACACTGTCCTGGTTCATTTGTCATGCTGTGATTTGTGGCTCATTGTGTAAAAAGTTGTGCTCATTTATTTAGCTTTATAAAAGGTACAATTCTGTTATCCCATAATTCTGTTCAGTTCCCTTTAAAATCCAGGTTGTTGTCCTGTATGTGTATCATAGTTTTTTCTGTCTGATACCTCAGATGCCAGTGTTATTTATAGCAGCGGATTATGTCCCATTTTTCAGTAAGAACAAAATGACTGGTAGTTTTTAATAAAGTTATTTGGTATTATGTAATCCAACTTTATTAGCGGTGGTTCTTGCCAATAAAATTGAGATGCTAAAACTTAAAGTCTTCAGTGGTATGCAGAGACAGACCTTTCTCAGTTGTAGTCCTACATATTTCAGAGTAAGCTGCTTTGATTTTAATGAACTTGTTGTGTTTTACTGTAAGCATACTATTTTATCAATCTAGAGTAACCACTCCTTTCCTCTATCTCTGCCTTCTCTTCCCCTATCTAGATGTGCATGGCTAGCTTTGAACATGACATGGAGAACGCTTTTGCCTTCCAGGCAAGCCAGGACAAGGTGTGCAGTATCTGCATGGAAGTGGTTTATGACAAGCCATCCGCATCCGAAAGAAGATTTGGCATCCTTTCAAACTGCAATCACACCTACTGCTTGTCCTGTATCCGCCAGTGGAGGGGGGTCAAGCAGTTTGAGAATCCCATCATCAAGTAAGTTCCCATAGCCTGCTCTTCCAAAACTTTATTATGTTTCCTTTCAAACTGTTCAGTCCTTATAGCTTAAATAAATGATAGAGTAGCTAATAGTTGACAAGGATATTCACAAAGACACGTAAATTGGACAAAATATGATGGTGGATTTCTCAGTTGCAGATTATCTTGATTAATTTTAAACTGCTTTGAAATAGATTACAATATTTTTCGGAGTATAAGACGCACCTTTTTCCCCCAAAAAAGAGTGTGGAAATCTGGGTACGTCTTATACTCTGAATGTAGCCTCGCCCAACCTCACAAACGGAGATTTCAGAGGCTGAAAGAAGCCTCTGAAAGAAGCTTCAGAAAAAAAGCCTCTGAAAGGCTTTTATCTAAAATAATATAGCAAGCAACAAAAGAAGAATCAGTAAAACTATGCTAACAAATCTGGGGAATGACACAATAACCAACAGATCAGAAGAGGTTAATCTATATACCAATACAAAGAAAGGAGATTGAACAGGGTACAGATAGTCCTTCAGAATAAAAGCCTCTGAAAGAAGCTTCAGAAAAAAAGCCTCTGAAAGAAACTTCAGAAAAAAAAGCCTCCAAACAGAGCTTTAGAAACCCCCGCCGCCCCCCAGCTCTGTTTTAGAGGCTTTCAGAGGCAGAAAAAAAAGTAAGGCACAGAGCTCACAACCAATGAACCTGTTGCTAAAATTCATCTCTGGGAACAGCTGATTGGGGGTATCCCGGGGAGGCCGATCTACCCACCAGTCAGCTTTTTTCTTATTTTCCTCCCCAAAAACTAAGGTACATCTTATACTCCGGTGCGTCTTATACTCTGAAAAATGCGGTAATTTCAAACTGCTTTAGAGTGGGCTTTGGGACTTTGATTTCTGATTATTGTCTTCGTTTGGACATCAGTTTACAGACTAAGGTTTGGTGCTGGCTGATTTCTGCATCATTATTAATGCTATTAAGCACAATGTTTTTCTGTTGCTGTTTGCCATAATTATATTCATTTTTTTCAGACAAATTTTAGATGTTCTTCAAAGTTCTAATCTGTCTTTATTTTATTTCAATATTTATATGAAACTGATAGGAGTTCTCCAGCAGATTTTGAGCTGGATGGTGCTAGTTATTTCTTAAGTTCAAGTCCTGCCACTTTTTTAAAAAAAAAAATCAAAGACCAACAAAGGGGTAAATATTGAATTTTCAGAAATGAATTGGCGCTCTTCAAATGCTGTGAAGCTTACTTTTATTATAAAAAGTTAATTTGCAGGAATGAAAACTTAGATCTGAAAATACAAATAGGATGGACTTTTCTTAATAAAGATAATGCTTAGGTTTAATAAAATTACATGGTAGATGCCTTCAAAATCATGATAAATGGAAGGGTAATTTTATTCAGAGAACCTTTGGTGTGTGGTTTGTTTTGTTTTTTTGTTTTTTTGTTTTTGTTGCTTTTTGTTCTGTTTTTGAGTTAGGTAAAATAGCTTCTTCAACAACCAGTATACCACCTTTTCTTTTTACTACTCGAGGTCCTGTCCAGAATGCCGTGTGGTATCTGAGTTTGTCATTCCCAGTGTGTACTGGGTAGAAGATCAGACAAAAAAGAATGAATTAATTGAAGCATTTAAGCAAGGGGTTGGGTAAGTATTTGTACAAACATTTAAGACCATTTGTAAGACATTTTTGTTCTGTGCTGTGCCGCTTAAAACTGTGGCTGAATGAATGGATGGTAAACAAGGTCTTCCTGTAAAGAGGAGTAAGAGAATTCTGTATGACCATTTATTTTCAACTGAAGCAGAGTTGTATGTTGCAAAATAGGACCAGCTTCAGTCAATCATTTCAAACAGCATGTACATCTCTAATCACTATGGGTAATGCATGCTACACACACTTCTTTTCTATGAAATCAGCCACCACACCAGAGTCTAAAAGAGTAGGCAGTTGTATTTCTGAGGGGTCCTTGGTGCTTTCGGAGCTTGGTAGTTTTCCTTCAGACATTTCATTACCCAAACTAGGTAACATCATCAGTCCTAGTAAGGAGTGGGTTTGCTCTTAGTTGTTGTTTTTTTATTTTTATTTTATTATTATTATTATTATTATTATTATTATTATTATTATTATTATTATTATTATTATTATTATTATTATTATTATTATTATTATTATTTATTAAAAGTTTATATTCTACAGGCTGCCTTCTCAGTGTTGTGGGAGTGGTCTTGGAGGTTATTTGGTTGGGCTGTTTACTGTTAGCTTATTTGGCATTTCCTTGATTGGAAATGATACCCAATCCTCATTTCAGCCCTGAGCTACAAATGGTACCCAACCAAAGAATCCCCAATACCACTCCCACCAACACTGACTGGACAGGACATGCCACTAGAATATAAATGGAGAGCAAACCACATTCCTTACTATCACTGATGATGTTATCTAGTTTGGTTATGAAATATCTGTAAGAAAACAACCAAGCTCAGAGAGCACCAAGGACCCCTCCCCATTTCAGCCCTGTAAAAGAAATATGCTCCTTGATTGTATTTCTGTGCTTTGAAGAATAACAGGGATAATAAAATGCACTTGCCTATTGTTGCTTATCTGAGCCATTTTTAATTGCCTGGGGCCTCCTTGTTGAGCTCTTGGGAGAAGACACTGGTATTTCCTAAAGAAGAGGCTATGGAGTGATTTGGGAGGTGACTCATAGTTTCACTGGTTTGGTGCTTTCCAACCAACTCACAGGAAGAAAGTTTGGCAAGACAAGCCATCACTAGATGTCCTAGAGCTATTCTCTCATATGCCCCATTTTACTAATTATCCTTCAGTTTATGAGACTCAAAGTCTTTCTGAAACTGTTGAATTAGGAAAGATCATTGGGTGCACATCTCCAGCATGAAACTAAAAATTAGCTATATACTACCACAAACTCGCAATTTCCTTGTTTTACTAATCTGTCATCAAAAGCATCTCTAAATCTTTGCATGAAATTATTATTTGAAAATGTATCATTGCTCACAATGAGTAGGACTGTCCATCTTGGCTGACACTTCTTTCAGCAGACCAAGAACAAAGGGGACTTTGATCTGACCTGTAGAAAATCCTGTTAGTTAGCCTGCCATGAACAAATCACATGAGTGTTGAAAGTTGGGGATCTTGAGTTTCTTCAAATTTCTCTGGTAGACTTCCAGAAGAACAGAACAGCATTGGCTTTCTGCTAAGATAAGCCTTAACTTTACTGCCGGGCTAACTGTATCACAGTGTTTTATGGATGTATTATCTATGTATCTTGCTACCGTTGCTACCGCCTCAACCACGTGTTTTACAGACAGCTGGGTGCCTCAAGGGCTGTTACCATATTCTAGACTGGAAGGCGAGATCCAGTGCCTCTCAGACAGTAGTGAGGCTTACAAGATTGTTGTTAACTTTTTGAAGTCAAGAAATAAGCATCAGAGGTTCTAGGAATACTTTTTATTGTTAGAAGGGGAAGTAAGAGAATCTTGAAAGTCTGCCACAGTTCCTCCCTGTCCCATTTTATATCAAACAAATTCAAGGCAGGGATTAGGTCCTTTCTCAGGACTTTCCTTGTCCCTTAATGATTCACTATCCCCTTTTTTCCTTCCAAAGCCCAAATCTGTATTCTTTTGCATATATGAAAGACTGTGTTTTCAAATCATATTCTTTTGCTAGAACATCTTTCATTGATGAAATGAACATCTTTCATTGATTTATTGAAGTTATCAAATATATTGTACAAGTAGCAAATTCAGAATGAAAATGTGAATAGGTTTAAGAAACATATTTTGATCAGTGTTTTTCTTGTGGGTCAAGTCGAGGGATGAAACATTTCACCACACTGGTTTTATTTGAAAATAAATTTATTTGTATAGGACTTCCTGCCTGAGCAGGGGTTGGACTAGAAGACCTCCAAGGTCCCTTCCATCTCTGTTATTCTATTTTATTTTATTCTATTCTGTTCTGTTCTATTCTACTCTATTCTAATTCTATTCTTTCAACTAGTATTTAGATAAATGTACGTTATGTTCAACAAAATGACACATTTGTAATTCTGTGACCTTCACTGCTTGTCTCTAAAAAGTTTTGTGCGTGACTCTAAAAAAGCTGAACTTTTGTTGTTTACATTATGTTGCTCTCTGTTTATGGAGCATTTTGCTTATCAGTAACATCAGGAGCTGTGCTGTTAATAAATCTAGAGCTGAAATCTGAAGCTGTTGATCAGAACACACAGATTAGATTTATATTACATAATTTATATTATGGTTTCAGTTTGAAGTCTATAATATATACATTTCCATAGAAATTAAAACTGATTGTTCGATTATTTACCCATGATGGTTTCCAAATAACCTGTGGAATAAATCTCTATGTGCACCAAGGTAAAAAGACCCTGTGAGTTTATATTTTGCAAAGATGTAACTGGAAAAGATTCAGTGGTTTGGTTAAAAGTCTACCCTAAGTGGGAATATAATTTCTTTCACTTCTGTTATTTTCTTTGCCAAATGAGAAGTTTAACATGTTTGCCTTTGACTTACTTGTCAGATTTCTCATGCTACATATAATTTATTCTGCTGAGTATCAATCATTAGTTCTGTGTTGGAATATGAGTCCTTGGCATCAGATTAATCGGAAGTACAGTTAACATTTTTCATGTGCTATAAATAGCAATAGCACTTAGATTTATACACCACTTCACAGTGCTTTACAGCGCTCTCTAAGCTGTTTACAGAGTCTCAGCTTATTGCCCCCAACACTCCGGGCCGTCATTTTATCGACCTCGGAAGGTTGGAAGGCTGAGTCAACTTTGAGCCTGGTGAGATTCGAACTGCCAAATTGCGAGCAGTTGGCAGAAGTAGCCTGCAGTACTGCATTCTAACCACTGCCCCACCACAGCTCTTTGAGAAATATTTGAGAATGAAATTCTAGGTGACTGGTAAATATTGTTCTTATCTTCAAAAATGGGGGAAGAGAAGAATCAGGCAGGCAGGCATTTGGCATTTATACTTGGGAAGATTCTGGAGTAGATAATCTGTGGTGGTGGTGTCTGTGTGTATAACAGTATTGACTCCTGCAATGGCATGGACAAGGCCCATGCAATTTTCTTGGCAGCATTTTCAGAAGTGGTTCACCATTATCTGCTTCCTAAAGCTGAGAGAGCCCAAGATCACCCAGTTGGCTTAATGCCTAAGTCAGGATTAGAACTCACACTGTCCTGTGAGTTTCTTGCCTAATGTCCACACTAGACTATCTCTTAATATGCCCCAAAACAATGAGGGTTAGTAGTTAATACGGATTTGTTAATAACTTGTCTTATCTATCTATTCTCATTATTTTTGGTCTGCTTCCTTAGCAGAACATAGGAATGCTCTAGAGTTAATATATCTTGATTTCAGCAAAGAGTTTGACAAAGTAACCCATTACATTTTGACTAAGAGGGTAATCATACAAGGTGTGAGTAGCAATGACAGTAAATGCTGGCTTGGAAATCATATTCAAGAAGTACTGGTGTGAGGAATCAAGGAAAGTGCCACAAATGATTCTAGTGGCTTTTCCACATCTTTATTAACTCCATGGTTGACTTAAGTGGAGAGAATGCCTGTCATACTTCAGATTACATAAAATTTAGTAGGGTAATTAATATTACTCAATACATATTCAAAATTATCTTTATAACTTGGAGAAACGGGCTGAAAATAATAGAATAAAATGACTAGAGAAAGAACAAGAAAGTACAAAGATCTGAGTATGTTTCATTTTGACAGTGGCAGTCAGGAAGAAGCGGTTTTGTAATATTGTACATTTACAGATTGTTCAGCACGGGTTATTGCCAATATTATCTGAGTGAGAAAAGGAAAGGCGTTGGTGTTTATTCTAGCATATAAATACAGCCAAATGTTTTAAATATTGAATTGCTTTCCTTTATACTTTTGTCATCACAATTCACATTTCAAAATCATCCCAAAAAATATGCATCAGGCTTGCTTTTAGGATTGATCTCTCTGTAAATTGGCTTTATTTTTCTTTTTAGAGCCACTAAGCTCCTTGAGTTTTTAATAATACATTGAGCTGTCAGTCTCCACATGAGTAACCCTGATACGCATTCTTCACCCTCTTAATCTAGGAGAAAGGCCTGCAAGTATTTTGAACAAGGAAAGGGGACTTGCCCATTTGGAGGGAAATGTTTGTATCTCCATGCTTACCCAGATGGAAGACGAGCTGAGCCAGAGAAGCCACGAAAGCAGCTCAGCTCTGAGGGGACAGTCCGGGTAAGAAGATACATAACTCTCTCTATATCCTGTCTCAGCTTCCCAAAACTGCTGGGATCACTAATCATCTCCTTTCATTTGAGACAACACATGCTATTTTGAAAATACCTGAATAGTTGGTTTAGCAGAAACACTTTATCTGTGTTATATAATAAATGTAACACAGACAAAATAAACCTAGTCCCTACTTTGACAATCCACTTGTTTGTTTCCAATTTAGAACCCAATTAACCTCAATAATTTTAAAATTGCAGCTTGCACTTGCAATTGTGACAGTGGTGTCATCACTCTTGGCAAGCTACCCTGCTGGTTTCTCACAAGCAAAGTCAATGGGGAAGCTGGCAGGGAGGGTTGCAAGCCCCCTCGGTCCCAGGCCCCCCCCCCCCCCCCCCCCCACACACACACACTTCCCTGCACCCTCCTTCCTCAGCCTCCTTGTGCTTGCACAAATCCACAGTGAGGTGTTGGGATGCTGCCCTGGATGTTAAAAAAAAAAGCTGTAGTTATAAATCCAAACAGTGCCTTAAATATATTAATAAGAGATACGTGTGAGTAACTAATATGCCTTCTGTTTTAGTTCCTCAACTCTGTTCGTCTGTGGGATTTTATCGAAGACCGAGAAAACAGGACGCTGCCAGTTACCAATGATGATGTCTCTGAGATTGGAGAGCTTTTTATGCATCTTTCTGGCACAGATGCCGAATCTGCTGCTCCTCCCTAGACTACCACAAGATCTCTCCCGTGTCCATATTCCATTTTGATCCTTCTGTTTCTTCAGTAACTTTGTACCACAATGTTAGAATTATTGTGCCATGGAGACTGAGGTCCTGGTGAAATTCTAGTATGAGTGTCACTGTAGAGCAAAAGTGTTGAAACATCATAAAATGAGTGCTTGGAATAAAAGTGATAGATGTAATCATGAAGAGAAGAACTTTTCTATTAGAAGGGAAAGAGCAGCAATGTGTTTTTAGTTTAAATGAATATTTACTCCCATTTTATTGAAAAAATCTTGCTATTCTAAGATTTGAGGTAGATCCAAGTAATTGGAGGTTGTCTTTTAATATTATAATATCTTAATAAAAGAACGGAAAAATACATCTAATTATCCATGTCAAATATATCAATGTGGTTTAAAATTATCAGACTCTGTTTTCAGGGTTGTTAGCAAAAAAAACGCCACGCTATCTTCTAACACTGCACGTGGCCAATTTTTTTTAAAAAGTGATTTTAAAAAAAAATGGCCATGAGCATTGTTAATGTATTTTATAAGCAGCATGGTTACTTAAACATTTGCCGCACTAGCTATGCTACAGTTCTCCTGACTTAAGCTGTATCCATTTTTCCATTTTAATGCAACTATAACTAACCACATTTAAGATTATTTGTAGGAATGAGATATCTAAGAATGAAAGTACAGTCAAAATAATCCATGTTAGTTATATGATTTTCTTGGAAGCAATAACCAAGATTCTACTTACACATATAAGTAGAGAATTCCTTTGTTAGTTAGTTCCAAGTAGGGATGGATTTTCAGAAATAATTGTTTTAGTTCCAATATGCCTGTTCAAATATTGAAGTAAAATCTGTTAAATCCATATATGGGTAATTTTTCCCCTTCCATGTAATTGTGTCCGATTCTTGGAGACTGAACAAGTTCCTGCAGGTTTCTTGGTAAGGGTTTTCAGAAGTGGTTTGCCATTGCCTCCTTCCTAGGGCTGAAAGAAAGTGACTGCCCAAGGTCACTCAGCTGGTTTTATGCCTAAGGCAGGACCAGAACGGACAAGTTCCTGCTTTCCAGCCTGATGCTTTAACCACTACACCAAACTGGCCATAATAGGCATTGCTAAAATACTGGCACTCTGTGACGTAATACAATTTAACTTTTTAAAAAGTAGCACTGTCTGAACATTGCCTGAAAAGTGGGACCATGCTGCATTTCAAACTTGGAGGCAAAATGATGCTTCAGAGCAGCATGTTTGCTCATGGAGCCCCTTTCTACAGCTCTTTAAAGCAATTGTGTCTTTTTCTAGATGCTGTGCATGTTTGCCTTGAGATCTAAAGTATTGCAAAACTCTCCAGTTCGGTTATTTTAAGATGTTCTCTTCTCCTAGTCCCATTAGTAGGAGCAATTAATAGCAGTATTCAGCCTTCAAAAACAGCCTTCACTGATACCAATTTTTTATATATATATGAGGATAGCAGGTAATGGAAAATCATGACTCAGGTCAATCTAACTAGTGGGTGAAAGTGGTAGAAGTTCAATGGAATAGAAACTATTTGACCTGCATATACTAATTTACACACAAAGAACTTTCTGGGTTTTGAATCTGCTTTTTGCAGTCCCTGTCGGAATGAAGGAGCCATTTGGTAACTCTCCCATCCTGCTTGATATTAACTGAACTTTAATATATCTTTAAAAACAATGCCCATATTCCTAGTAACTGCAGGAAACTTGTAGTTTACTTGGCAAGCATTATAAGAGTCTATTTGCTATTCTTTTCTGGAAAAAAAATCCCTCACTTTTAACATACAACCCTAGAATTCTCAGGTAGTCTCCCATCAAAGTATTCATCATGGTTGACTCAGCTTAAATTTTGAGATTGTCCAAAGTTACTGAGACAACTATTAACCTTTTAGGCCATTATTATCTATTACTGACAACAGTGATTCAATACCTCATCATGTTATAAAGTAAGGGTGTCAAACTGGCGGGACGAATGTGTCACGCGCAGGCCACGCCCACCCCAGCTCCACAAATGGGGAAAAAGTCGCAAAACGTCATGTGATGGCAGCAAGTTTGACACCTTGTTATAAAGCACTATCATAAGTGCTGCTGAAATCACATTCTAAATCCTCACAAATGAGATTGTGTAGATAGTGGGAAAGTATGTGAAGAAATAATCATATAGGCTTCTTTGTGGTGTAAGTACTATAAAGAAGCAGAGTATCCTGTCTGGCTTGTTTGTCCAATATAGGAGCAGGTATTGTATACTATCAGGAGTATATTTGGAGTTTTACAAGTGTATTATGAGTTCATTCTTGCAGTCAATGGCTGTGTGTTTATATTTACAAGAATTTATAAATGCCCAAAGATGTGAATGTATACCATGTGGTCAGCACCTGCTCTAGTAGACCTTTTAAAAATGCATTTAATTCAATCGGCTGGTTTGGCACTTAGGTATCAGGTGAGAAAAAACAAGTATAGGCATAGTTTATTCTCCAACAGCATAGTTCCAAAATAGCATCATTTTCTGTACCTAAACCAGATATTCAGTCTCATACAAAAGTGCTTGGTGGCATCTTTGATAATTAGCCACATGTTAAAACTCAGTATCTAAAATTAGCTACTCGTAGGGGTCTAGAGGTTGTAGACAAATATCCAAGCAGACTGAATAATTAACTTGCTTCTTTGTCAATGGTTAGTAGTGTCACTTTCTGATCCATCCTAAGCTTGACACTTATTTTGAAGACTGTATCTGTTATTGCTGTAAATTTATTAGAGTATTTATTAAATATTGTTCCAGGTTTGTGGTCCTTCAAATGCTACTGAGCATGTGCAGCTTTTTTACTACAGATTAAGAATTTGAAATGTTATTGAAGAATTGCAAAAAGAATGCAAAAAATACAGCCCAGGGATGATATGCGATTTGCCAGCATACCTTTTGCAGAATAAGCAGAACCAATGACTTCAGCCTCATTTTTGTTTTGGCAAAATTTGTAAAAAGCATTCTTTAAACCTCATGAGGACTTAAGGTAGGGGTGTCAAACTCGCGGCACACAGGCCAGATGCCTCACGTGCTGGCCACGCCCACCCCCGGTTTAGCGAAGGGGAAAGTTGTGAGATGTCACGTGACATGACATCATGAGTTTGACACCCGTGTCTTAAGGCACCTGTTTGAAATCACCAAACCTAAAAAACCTGAGCCAAAGGTTATTTATACCTGTATAGTGTATCATTGTTCAGAATATCTACAAGATAGATAATTTTGATTATATAGCTAGCCAAAGTTACTGTCAACACGCAATTTAATGAGGGCATTGGTCGGAATCCTGACAGTTACATTTCTTTTCAAGTCCCAGCATCCACAGTTGATCAGAAGGAATAATCTAAGATGCTTTTATGAAAAATTGTATTGTCTATACATTGACTGATAATCACTCTAAAGATTATTTTACTTTATTGATAGATTAGGCAAAATGGAAGACAATGCATCAAATTTAATTCATTTGAAGAACTTTTCCACTTATATTTAAATAGCCAGGTGAATAGTAAATAGTAATAGTTTTATTTAAATAGAACATAGGTTTGAGTTCAGGTGACTTTCCTAACACTGGAAAATAGTGTTCTTTTGATTGATGGTGTGTGTTTGAGTTCTTGAAAGCTTCAGAGGGCAATAATTTTAAACTTGAGTCAATAAAAATTCAAGGAAGATAAAACTAGTTTCTCTAAATCTACTACTACAGTAACTATACAAGTTCTTAAATCAGATCTTGAGTTCCCAAACTACAACTGATAGCCTAGGCATACAGTTTTGAAATGAAAATGTTTAGTTTTTACTATTTGGCTATAACTCTACATTAATATTCTGTAATCAGCAGAGATACATAAAACAAAGAATATACTGGTTCAACAGTTTTTCTCTTACTTTATAGAGTATTTTTAGAACTAGTGTATTTGTATAGGATTATTCTCAGATTATTATTTTTTAGTTATGGATAAGATCAGGGCAAATTCATATTAATCTCGATTTTTTTTTCAAGTTGGCAGTGTTCCAACAATTCAGAGCTCAAAATCTTTACTAAGAGGCTCCAATACTCAAATAAAATCTGATGGTAGAAATCAGGAAACTTAAGAGAACACAACTCTGCTGACATTAGTTGAAAAAATTGTTCCGATTAGAAACTCTTATTGAAAAAAGCACCCCTTCCCAACAGGCAATATGCAGAAACTTTCATTTATTGATTCTCAAATATTTCGGTCTCGGGTCTATTCTTAAAAATGATTGAGAAAATGTACAGTATCAATATGTACAGTAATCAGAAATTAAAACAGAGAAATGTTAAAATATTATTTGACTCCACAGAACCCCTGAAAGGGCCTCGGACTCAGCTGTCTTCAGACCATACTTTGAGAATTGACACTGTCATTCAAAAGATTACAGCAGTACAGCATGTTAGTTGGAGAATTCTGGGCCTTCAAATTGCCGTAGTTGAGAAATACTGGATTATAGGATATAAAATGCATCTTTTCAACATTTCTTTCAAACAGCATATTTCCCCTACAAAATCTTAAAATGTTTTGAAGTTGCGTGTTTTAAATAGCATCAGCCAATTTTTATGTAAGTATTGATAACTCTGATGTGCACTTTACATTCTGTGTGTGTCTCTAGCAGAAATCTAACAAAAGCAACCAAACTGTTCTTTGCTAATGTTTTACTTGCATAGAAGGGTGCCACTGGTTACAAGAATGACTGGTGCTTGTGAACTGGATTAAAGTAACGTGGTAACAAGACAAAAGAACATGTGTGAATTGAAGCCTGGCAAACCAGCTCAACAGATTTTTGCATTTTTAAATGTACACTGAAGCTCAACAGAATGTACACACACAGAATGTAAAGTGCACATCAGAGTTCAGCTAACCATCACAGGCTAACGTAATAATCTTTATATCTGTACAACTGCAGCAACATTAGGACTTGTGCAGTCATAATGTAAGGTACTGCAGTACAAGCAACTATGCATTCTCTCCCTGAAAAATCAAACACCATAACATACAGTATCACACCCAAACCCCTAGTCTGCCAACTTTAATTCTAATTTCTTTGCAGCATCCTGAAGATGAGTGGATTTTAACTCAGAATGCTCAGCAATGGCAGAAAATTCTGAGAGTTGAAATCCATACATCTGAAGAATATCCGGATCGGGAAACAATGAACTGGCAAGCTGCATAAAATGTTATCTGTGTGAGATAAATTAATTGGAAATGTACAACGCAGTTCAAAGGGAATTAATATAAAATACATATAGCATTAACATATATATTGGATGACTCAACTTTCTGCTTTAGTAATCCAACAATTTAACGAGAGATTTTGGAAGTACAATGGGCAATTTTCAGAGTATGAAATGGGTAGACCCAGTTATATCTGGCTATCGGAAGAAAGGCATTTTCTTCTTGTAAAGAAAATCACAGAAGCCTACAGAAGAATTTAACAGATCACTCCTCCCTCCTTCCCACATTCATGGAATTCAGTCGAGTGCAAGTCTGAACCCAGCAAAGTATGTCAGGTATCTGAGAGACAATACACAGTGAAAAGCTGTAAATAAAATAGTGGTTTTTTTATGAAATAGCATTTTTTTAAAAATTGCTTCAGTATTTTTTATTCCCTTCCTTTAAAAGTACTTGATAAAATAGAATGTATGGATTTGATTGGATATCTAAACACATACGTACACATACTGGGAGACCAAACCTGTTGTGTGTGAAGCAGCCAGAAAAAAAAAATCAATGACAAATTTAAATTTAATTTATTTATTAAAATAAGATAATCAGAAGAACCTGGGTTTACAATAAATGTTTTTCTCTCAGGAGCAATAAAAACAAATTAAAACCCAAATCAGCAAGGAAAAATCCTGTATATGCCAAATTTCCTTATAGTGCATCTCAGAAAAAAAAGGTTTTTTTTCCAAACAGTCTAATGACCATTTGCAGAAATATACTGACATTACTTTATTTATTTCTTCCACAAAACTATCATGTCTTACTGAACCCTCCAGGTGCTGCAAGAAACAAGTCTGAAGTACCCAATAAGTTTCTTATGTTACCTTATGAAGATTGTAGCAAGATTGTGCCAGCTTCTGAGGAGGAATACTAGTTATAATATACATCTCATCTTAACATGATTTTTCCTATGTGCAAAATTATTTGTAGTGATGAAACTTTAACCACCAATATTAAGTGATTATGACAAATGCTCAGTTGGGGACACTTCCATGAACTTGCATTTCCATCTTCCCTTAAGTCATCTTTACAAATTGGTATTTTAGTTATGATTTCTCCAAGCCAGAATGTTCTTAAGTAATAAGAAAAACAGCACCATTTGCATTGCCTTTTCTCAAATGCTGTTGCTATACAAAAAAATAACAGTTTGTTCAGCAGAATGCAAGAGTTGAAACCAGAAAAGTAATACTTTTTTTCCTTTGTCCTTTTTTTTTTTTTTTTTTTTTTTGCATATGGGAAAAAAAAATAAGGCTCAAGTGCATCTATAAAAAATAGCAATAGAACTTTTTATACAGTCTGTGAACTATTTCCATAAGATAAACTGTAGCAAAAGGCAACATTGGAGTTTTGTCCCTGTAGGCTTAGAATAGCAGAAATTCATAGCAGCTCACTCTTAAAATTGGCACCCAGGTGAATCCCACGCTGGCTGTTCAGTTCTGTAGATTGAAGCCTTCAAAACACAACTGCTATAAAATAACTCTTCTTGGGGAGAACTGTGAAGGCTGCACGTGGATCTCCTAGAACACAGGTAGCTTTGTTGAAGTCAATGTGCATGAATTTATGTCCTGGGTGTGAGTTGCACGATGCAGAGAAGGTTCTGAAGCACTTCGGTTAATTTTGGGTAAAGAATGTTGCAGCAGTTCAATGGAAGACAATATCTGGAAGAACGATGGGGAAAGGAAGTGAGAATTTTTTTTATTTTTCAGAAATAACACATCCATACAGACTATATTTTGAATATTATATTCAGCATGTGAACAATAGAAACATTAACATTATAGATACACAAAAGAAAACCCGATGGTGATAATGGGAATAGTTTATGAGATGGTAATTTCGTATATTTTGAAAATTGAAACACCGATCATCGTTCATTACAATATAACATGATCATTTTCCAAATCAGAAGTTCAGTAACAGAGCAGAATTTTTATTTTTTGACTTGCAATTAACGGAATAAAACTATAAAACTATACTCACCTGTGGAAAAAGAGGTCTCTCTTCCCTTACTTTTTTTACGCAATCTGCTACAAGCCTCTTCATAGCTTTTGGACAGTTTTTGTATAGTTTACTGAGATCAGGCGATGTATAACCACGACCAACCATGAAAATGATCTACGAATTACAAATAAATACATTTTTGTAAATGTAAATGTGTATCAACTTTATACATGTGAAAATGTGCATCAAGTTTTCATAATTCTCATGAAAAAATTAAAAGTAAATAAGCAGCTGCTAAGTCTTTCATACAAAAAAGGTACATCCAACCCCTTGCATTTACCAGTAGTAGCCATTACTACTGCATTAAATTAAGTTCCATCAGAGTCACTTGCCAGGTTAGGAAAAGAAAAATACAATCAGCGTAACAGACTACAAGCAGGACTGGAAATCCAATTTTTTTCAGATGTGTTATAGTATAAAAAAGTGGATGAAAATTTATAGAAATGCAAACTACAGCTGTTGCCATCTTGAGCAAAATGTAACAAGCATTCTATATTATTCACGTCAAGGAGAAAATAATTAGAAGGATGTGCTAATGCAATTAGCCTATATTGCACCTTTTCAATTCTGCTACTAGAAAATGGAGGTATAACTTTCCTGAAATATAGACCTTTCTGAAGCATTCGTTTTCTCCTTACAATATAGAATGCAGAAGCTAATCAAAGAGTAGGAAATCCTTATCAATAAGAGCCTAAGAACTGCTGTATTCAACAATACAAAGATTAGCAGTTTCAAGCCTTGACTAGACTTCCAAGCCTTCTCAAGGAAGACAGATACCTTTGCTCAGCAACAAACGTCGTGCTTCTTAAAACTTCTTAAAAACTATAGGAAAGATGTTTTAGACTAGACTAGGTTGACAGAAGGGCTCAGAGTCCAACTGTCAAACAGGGCATGAGACACTCCTAGACATAACTTCCCTTTCATCCCTGAAGAAAGATGCAGGGATGTATCAACTTTGCTCCTGCGTAATGGCACCATTTTCAGTCTATTTATTAATCAGCAGCCACAAATGGTCTTTCACATCCTCCTTTTGGTGCCCTGAGAATTGTCAAACTTAATCACAGGATTTCTTCCATGGATTTGGAATGATTGGGAATGCTTCCAGTGAATTCCCTGTCTTTTTAGCTTCCATTCAGGAAGAAGGCTATCCATTGATTATGCTCGCTAGAGGAAAGTGTCGTGTTTATCATGCCAAGTGAAAATGTTAAAACCTAGCATACTCTGATCATTCTCTTTAGAGACTGGATTAGTTAGATTTTTTTTTAAAAAAAAAGTTAATTCCATATCTCACTGTTCTAAAACAATTTCAGGCCCTTCTCCCAACTAGCATAATTATTCATGATATCTGGGTAAAGTAGAATACAAAGGGGGAAGAAGAAGAGTACACAAGTACTTTTAGTCTCTGATTAAAAGAGCAATCGGAAGACCAAAGCAAATTAAAGGAAATTATTAGAATATACAATGTGAAAACATCAATGAGCATAGTTAGTTCAGTATATGGGAACTTTAATTCTGTATTTTTAATAGATGAATCCTGTAGTGGCTCACAATGAAAGAGCTTAGGACAAAGATGATGGCATTACACTGACTTGAGGCACTGTAAAATAGGAACCATTACAAAATTATTGAGAAAGCATTCAATAACACATCAGATAGATATCATCCAAATACAACTATTAACCGTGTATATTTTTTGCTCTGTTAATTTTAATATAATTTAAAAACAAAACTTGATCAAAAAATATAAAGCACTCTATCAAAACATAATAATTTCTCACCTGATCTCTATTGTTAATATGTGAATAGGGTAACTCTCCTGTCATCAATTCGTATAGTACTATTCCATAAGAATACACATCTGATTGAAAGCTGAATGGATTGCTATCTTGCATTCGAATTACTTCCGGTGCCTTTAGAAAACATAACAATTTTTTTAAAAAACAAACAAAAAACAAATTATAGCAACCCACCCTAAAGCCCATAGTTTTTTGTCCATACTCCACTACTGACAACCATAACTGTGGACTAGAACAGTGTTAAACTTTGAAAATAATTTTCTAACGCATTTAAATTGGGTCCAAGACCATACATGCATGCCGATTCACTATTACCTTTCAAGGTAAGCAATGTTATGCACTGCTTGGAAAATGAATAAAAAGTAGAGGGTCAAAAAAAGTAAAGGCCTTAGGTAAAAATAAATAAATCATAAACCATAACTTAAGGTGAACGGTTTGGGTGTAAACTACTTTATCTTCCTTTTTTTAATGATATCTGTCCATGATGGCTGACCAGCAAATTAAATTAAGTCTGTAGATTTCTACACAGGATTTTCAAAGGAAATAACTGGTGTTGCCTATAGCGTTGGATGAATGCAAAAGACTGGGACAAAAGATCTCTCCCCTGCACCAATCTTCTGCATGGATATAATGGAAAGTTGAAAAAAATACTGTAGGTTACTATAGTGAAAGATGCCTCACATTCTGAAGGCAGGGGTGGCAAGCATGAAATGGGCATTGGTCTTACCTGAGACGCCCTTTCTCAGGACAGTGGACCAGCAGCCAGGAATGGAAGGCAATTCTTGATCTCAAGACCCTGAACCATCACATCATTTATCAACGGTTCAAGATGCAGTCGCACCAGACCATCTTCTGTCAGGTCTACTGACGTGAGGAAGTTGCCTTTTCTGACGCTCTCCAAGGTGGTCTGGAGCTACTGCATCTTGAACAGTCGATAAATTATGTGACGGTTCAGGGTCTTGAGATCGAGAATTGCCCTCCATTACTGGCTGCTGGTCCCACCTTTATGGAGAATTGTGCATATAGTAAGTGCAGGCTATGCAGTCTCGATTTGACTCCAAATCAGGTCTTGAAGCAAAATTATTACTTTGTTTGTTGGGCCTTAATTCCTTAAACAAAAACATACTATTAATACTACTATACTATTAAAACATACTATACTGCAGCATATCAGAAACCTAGATCTTTCATAACAAGGAAAAACAACTGTAATGGAATAGAGCGCACTATATTTTGGGGATTAATTTTCCCCCAAAATTTGTTGTACAAATCCTCATTAATGTTAGAGCAATGATGCATTATTTCCTTTATACTTGAGACCTTACCATCCAGAGAACAGATCCTGTAGGCTGTTCCACTTGTTGAGAACCACTCCATCTGGATTTGACTGTTGCCAAACCGAAGTCTCCTATCTTCACTGTTCGGTCTTCATGAAGAAATATATCTTAACAATTGTTAAGGAACACATCTGGACCATAATTTGAATTACCAAGCACTGTCCCACTTGCAAGTAGGTTCAGCCAAGTGTTTAGGCTGTCCATACTGTTAAGTGTAATATTTATAGCAATTAATGTATTTATAAAATATATATTATTAATTGGAGGAGCCACTTATGTATACTTTCTATACTTCATTATCAGCCTTTCAAACAGATAACTACTATTTATGTTTGTGTTTTGCTAAATAAAAAGATCATTTGCCACTCTTCCCACCTACAAAACTCAAGATTTACAAATAGGCCACTTTTCCTCTTATTATTATTTATATTATATGTATTTATGAATATTTTTATTATTTTAACTTCTAAAGTAGTTAAATTATCTATTTTTGCAGAAATGTATTAAGGGCACCGTATTTAAAAAAAATTACTGCATAAGAACTTGTCCACAAGCAGGACAAATCTAACAATAAGATACAAGCACTTTTCTATTAGGGACTACATGCATTCTATGAGACTTTTTATATTAATTTTCAGCTCTAATTAGTATCAAAATACTGAATGAATTCCGAAGGATTCGTTTGTTTTGTCAACAGCAGTCATCTTGATCTCACCAAATCACTATCCTTAATTAGTAGTACTAAGCTTCTTTATTGTCTTAATCAACTGACTACTAGAAATCTCACAAATAGAAAGGATACTATTTGATTTCATGTCTCTGTGTATTATATTCTTTGCATGCAAGTAGCTATAAATAGAATTAGATAAATTTGAGAACAGCAATAAGCAATTGAATTAACTTCCCCAACTGTTTTAGACAAACAATTCTATCCATGCAGAATCATTTTCTTTCTCTACAAAGAGAAATATAGGTAGCCCTCAGTTAATGATCACTCATTCAGGAACTGTTTGTAAGTCAATCCTATTCCAAATGCTTTTTTCTCCTCCAGAGCTCAGTTACACGAAGATCCTGGAGATCTCTTACTCGTAACATCCACCCATCTCACTGGTGTGGCGTTCCAGTAGCCACTTGTGTGTTCTCCCACCCTGGCAGAACCCACCCCCCACTCGACTGCACTTGCACCACAGCAGCCACTTGTGAGCTACCTAGATTTGTGATTTCCTGCTGGCTTCCTTTTCTTGTTGGAAGCTGGCAGAAAGTTGCAAGCAAATCCTTGGATAATGGCAACCAGAGATTGTTGTCAGCCGGATCTCCAGCATGGGTTTTTCCTTTGACGCATGCTTGCTATCGGCTGACATAGTAACGGGGGGGGGGGGTGTATTTGGGTTTGGGAAGTGAGCTGGTGGGTGAAGGTCCATGTGAACTAAAAGGGAGGTTTGCTCTCAAGAATTATTGCGCTGCTGAGTGGAGTTGTTTACACCCAGTTAAGGCCAAACATCCTAGAACTCCAGGTGGGCGAAAATACCTGAAGAAGAGCTTCACATGACATTATGCGGGACATGGATTGGACATTCAGCCTGGGACCTGGAGGGAGGGATTTGGGGAAACTTTCATCCTGTATCTTTCACACCTTTTGAATCAGATCTTGCTTTGCTTTTGCCGCTATCATTTCAAAGTCAGTAAAAGTACCTCTTCTCTACTTCAATGGAGTTGGGGATTTTCTTTCTTGGGTTTTGAACGGAGACGGTCCTGACAGATTGCTATCTGAGAGGTACTTGGTACTTTCTGAGCTTGGTTGTTTTCTTGCAGATGTCTCATTACCCAAGCTAGGTAATATCATTACTAGCACTGATGATGTTACCTAGTTTAGGTAATGAATTTTTTGCAAGAAAACAACCAAGCTCAGAGAGTACCAAGGACTTCTCATTTCAACCCTGAGCTACAAATAATCTTCTTTTTTATATTGCTATCTCTAAGCGATGCAGTCCCGTGTCATCACAAAAGGCTTTGCCAAAAATTTAAGATAACATTTCCTCTAGAATCATTTTTGCTCTACTGAGCAGTCAACCGCACTTCAACAATCTCTTAATGCAACAAGATTTGTTATCATTAAGCCTACTTACTCCATTCCTTGTGCTGTCTGTCTTGCAATATCAATACGCTGTAACATTGGAAACTTGGTCTCCTGAACATGTAGGTGGTTATATAGGCTACTTCCTTCACACCACTGTGTGACAATGGCCAGATTATCTTTAGTCATGTAGCCCATAAATAATAGAATATTAACATGTCGAGTTTTCCTACCAGAAACAAATAAGAAAGCATATTCAGCTGACATTTTAAAAACCTTAACATCAATAAAAAATGCCAAAAGTCCAGCTTCACATGGGTATACAATATAATGTAAAATGAATGTGTGAGATAGATGAATTTCTAAACTAACTCTTCAGTGTTGACATTTAGTCTTAATTTTGCTATAATTCCAAAACAATATTCTTTTAAGTTACTTGGGCTGTATGGCTAAGTATATGGTAGAACCATACGGTTCCCCCACCAGGGTCCCTTAATTTGTATAGGGGTAAGTAACTGTTTATTTCATTGCTTTTCATTTATATCACACAAAATTTCACATTGTTTCCATCTACTTAATATCTTCATAAAATCACAGATTAAGAACACAAAAATGTTTATACTAACAATATTAATACTCCTGCACCTGTAGGAGAAGGAGTGGCAGAACCTGCATGCAGAGTCAAAAGAGGCATTAGCCTAGAGCAGGGGTGTCAAACTTGATTTCATTGAGGGCCGCATTAGAGTTGTTTGACCTCGGGGGTCGGAGTGGGCATGGCCAACTCGACATTACTCGTGTCAGGGGCACCTATGGTGCCCAAGTGCTATGGCAGAACTTCCCTCAGACTCTCCCTCACTCTCATTATAATCTTCCTTCCTTCCTTCTCTCTCTTCTTTTTCCTTCCCTCTTCATTCTTTCTTCTTCCTTTTCCTCTTTCCTTATTTTTCCTTCCTTGCTCTATTCCCATCTTTCCTTCTTTTTCTTTGTTTTTCTTCTTTCCCTTTCTCCTTTCCTGTCTCTTCTTGAATGCTCAAATGCAAAGGGGGAAAGATTTCTCCTTTTGTTTTGTTTTTAGTTAGTTTTGCTAGCTCTCTGCCAGCAAAAACAGAGCTCCGTTTTCAGCTGTGACAGCCTCCTGCAGTCCTCTGCCAGTGAAAACAGAGCTTGGGGGGGACCCCGTGCCCCATTTTCATTGCCAGAGGCCCCTGGGTCGTCCTTTGCCGGCCCCGGGGGTGGCTTCACGGGCCACATCTAAGCACCCCGCGGGCCAGATCGTTGAATAGATTCCTGTATACCGGCATGATTTTAATTGGAACTACATGTGTGGTCTTGATCTTTCATGCCTGACATACCAAAATTCAGATCATTTAAAAAGCAGTGTTTTGGGCACAAAGCCCATTATCTGTCACTTCATAAGCACTCGGGACAAATACAGCTTTGGGATCAGGCTTTAATGCGGGTCTGTTGCCTAGAGATAATACAGCCATTGCAGTATCTCAACTGAGGAGAGCATTAAAATTAACTGCCTGGTTATTACCCATCAATCAATAAATTTTAAAAATGGTCTTTCAAAGAGATTCCCTCTCAATATGGTAAATTAACAGGAAACTTATGAAACATTTTAAGAAACTAAAATATCTCAGAACTGTTCTCCCTGCTGAGTAGAGTTCAGTATTTGAAAGAACTATTTTCCATGCTGGAGAGTTCAGTATTTGAAAGACAAGGCGAAAGAAGTTTAGCTGCCATCTTTAGTTTTCCTGTATGAAGGAAGGTAATTATATACTGTGTGGATTAAAAACATTTGAGGCTTGGCTATCTAATTTTTGTATATTTTAAGACATATATTTCTGGTCCGATAATGGGCCCCAAACTCAGTCCCTTGACTTCGGAATGGTATCAATTAAAATTTGAGTTCAGATAGAAAACATTACCACTGGGTTACATTTGTAGAAATATTCAAAACATATATATTTCTCCAATCACAGCACAAATTAGGGCAGGATAACTAAGGATGACAATTTACATTAATTGATGAAGAGGAGATTTTTGGTAGTTAGAATCTATATATTAGCTATGATGGAATGTAAATATTGCTTAGAGTTTGAAAAGTCCAAGCGTTGCTTTATGTTAATACATTTTATATGTTTTTATATATTGCCTTAGGTTTTCTATCTATCTATCTATCTATCTATCTATCTATCTATCTATCATTTACCTATCATCTATCTATCTAACTACACACACACATACATACATACACACACATTTTGATGTATTTATTTTATTACTGATAGTTGCTTAGATCTGTAAGTGCAATGCATTTTAAACTTCACTACAATCTAAGCAACAATACCGACAGGATAATTTTAAGAAACAATGTTTTCTAACAATGAAATTCTGGAATTTTCTCCATTTTATTTTTCAGCATAAAATTCCAGGAATCTGGAATAAATGCGATATTATATCTAAACTCAAAGTTGTCACTGCACTTGTATATACAGAGCACATTGCAGATATTTAAAGAAAGCCATGCTGATTTTTTTGTCCTTAAAATGAAAAATAACTACCTGCTAGCTTCCCTTAAAATATTTGTTGAAATTATTACATTAACAATTTTCTTTTTTTTTCACCCTGGAGATCTATCTATGTGGTCATGAAGAATCAACATTGATTTGATAGAACATAATCAATCAATCAATCAACTTTCTTTTTTTATTCGCCCCACCAGCACGTTTCACTGTATTGAAATCCCAGTAATATTTTACCTTAATACAGCTACTTCATTTCTAAAGGCTTGAAATTGTTCTGGGGTTGGATCTACAACCTTTAGGATCTTTACTGCTACATCACCTGCAAAAATAATCAGTAAACACCAAAATCAATAATGGAAAAGTCTCAAGTGCAGAATTTTTATGCATATACACAACAGCTGTTATAGCAAGGGAGAACTTGAAAACAATATGCCAGTTACAATGGAAAATACAAAGCCAGAAATTTAATTTCTCTGCATCAGACTGTTTCATAAAAATGTATACTTCTTGACAGAGATTTATAAAATGAACTTTTCAGATTGAAAAGCACGAAAGCATTCTTTTTCCTCCTCAGAGAGTACCAGTTTGGCTAAAAGCAAAGTGCTTTGAATGAAAAATGCTCCATTTTTATTTTGAAACAACTCAATTCTTGTATGGAATAAGCTGTTTTGATTGTTTCTTAAAATGTATTCAAGTTCTCCGAATTGTCCCTGTTTTGATTCCAAGACATAGTGTTGAACTCTAAATATCCCAAATGACGAAGATGTGCATTTCATATAATAAACAGCTATTTTGCCCTCAAAACAGATCACTTCAAATTCTAAACAGTTCATATATAAAATATTTGCAAATTATTAAACATATTATTCTGTTAACTAATATTTTAAAAACTGTTAAGTTCTAAAACAAAGAACTAATTAATTATAGAAAGGCATTTGTATTGATCACATCAAGCTATGTGCTTAGAAAAACAGGAATTCCAGAACATCTCACAGTCCACATGAGAATCATATATACAGGTCAGGAAGCCACAGTACAGACAGACTACGGTGAGACAGACTGCTTCCAGGTTGGCATAGGAGTGAGACCCAAGTATACTCTGTCCTTATTTATTTAACCTATATGCCAAATACATATTAAGGACAGCTAGATTGGAAGCTGATCATTCAAAATTGGAGGAAAAAAAAAACATCAATAAGCCTGCACTATGCTGATGACATTACTCTGATAACCAAAACCACAAAGAATCTGCAAGCTCTAAAGTCAAGGAGCGAAAACCCAGGACTAAAATTAATATAAAAAGAATAGACTAATGATAATAAGCACAATAACCAGTCTTAGAATTGAGAATGAAAATACTGAAGTTGTAGTTAATTGATCCTAAAAGACAGAGGCTATCAACAATAAAGAAACAAACAATAAAAAAAAATTCAGAGACTAGCACTTGTAGAGTAGGAATGAAGGCCCTGGGAAAAGATATTTAGATGCTCTGATGTGTCTATACCTACAAAAATTAAAACAGGGCAAGCAACGATATACCCTGTGATAGAACAGGGGTCCCCAACCCTCCAGGTTGCAGGCCATGGCCTATTCGGAACCAGGTCGCAGGAGAGGCGGGCTGATTTGCAGCACCTGCAGCTCAAGTCGCACAAGCGGTGGGCAGTTGAGCTGCGTGTGCATGTGCGTGCACTCTGGCCCACCACCCAGGTGAGTTGAGCTGCGCAAACATGCATGACAGCCTGCCACTCACGTGGCCCAGTTCCCCTCTCCTGCCCCACCCAGCTGGGCCACCAAGCTGCAAAGGTTGGACACCACTGACATAGAACATTCCCTGTTCAATGGAAGTAAAAATTGAACTTTGAAGAAGCAAGCTGGTAAGAATATTGACACTTTTGAACTTTGGCATCTTCTGAAGACTTCCGAGAATACGGTGGTCATCATGGAAAAAATATGTGGCTCCAAAATCCACCTATGTGGCTACTAAGAGTCGACACCAACTTGATGGCACTTAGTCAATCAAAAGTTAAAGAACGAAGCTATATATAGTAAATGACTGCATAAAAAGCACAAATCGTGTACATCTCTGCAGAAGGTATGCTTACTATTCTTAAGAATCTGAACAGAGACAAACGTCAGTTGTGCTTAAAATAATATACAGATCAGAATGCAAAGATCTCCATTGGTTACATAACCGAAAGGTTCTTTCAGTTTGTGAAGCAGCAACCTTCTACCCTTCCCTCCCTCACCCTGAATGCTGCCAGCCAACACTGTTAAAATATAGAAAATTCTCAGAACAAGTTACATAATGGCCCAAGGGTCTATTCAATTAAAAAGAAGCAGGAGGAGGTCTTGCACAAAATACCCAAGCACATGGGCGCTGTTAAGTAGCTCTTTGGATCCTAGCCACTGTTTCAAACGCTGTATTCCTGGAAACTGTCCCAGTCTTAAAAGGTTCAACCAATAGCGTATATACTTTCCCCTCATCAGAGTAATTGTCGAAGCACAATTTTTAAGAAGGAAAATGTCAATAATCGACTTTGCCACTTTGAGCAGGGAAGCCTCCTCTAGCAAGTATAATGCATAGCTAAGACTTCCTCTCAATATGAAGCTGAGCCAAACCAGTAATTCCATTTTCTCCTAGTCTTTTCTGCTCTGGTTTCGACAAAAATTAGATGCTCTTATTTAAAGACGGCAAACATCAAACCTGGCAGCATGCATCTAACAGCTCTTTTTGAAAGTCTGCCCAAAGTAGAGTCTCACTTACAGTCTTTAGCCAGGCCAAAATTCTAATTCCCATAAAACAAATTAGTACTAAATAGTCAAACTACAAATTCAGAAAAACTACTGTATATTGGAAAGTCAAAATTGGAGAATGTGCAGGAATGGAAAAGCTGACTGCATATTTGGAGCAGAAGATAACTGAATTCAAGAAGAACTGTCTCCCTTACATGCATCATATCACACAGAAACTCGAATTTAGTCACTTAAAATATGGTTTCGGAAGGAAAAGAGAAATTGCCTTAAATAATTAAAATGAATCAAACAGAAATGAGCAATAATCATAGTAGTTTAAAGCAGGGTGGATAAAAATCAATGATTTTTTAAAAAAAATAAAAAAAATCAGATTTTTTTTATTTAAATCGGATTTTTTTTTATTTTTATCAAATTTATTTTAATAAAAAACTTTTGGGGTAAAAATCTATCGTAAGATAGTTTTCTATTTAAGATACATGAATAATTTAGTTTATTCAGCATGAAATGGAGCTTAGTTATATAGCATGAGGCTGTATATTCTGCAACACTGGGACTATCGGTGAGTCAACAGTGGGTCAAAGGAGTAGCAGAGATGACAGTTGCTCTTTAAAAATTATGATTTAAATCGAGTTGATTTAAATCAAGCCTTTTTACTAGTGATTTAAATCATGATTTAAATTGTGATATAAATCAACTCGATTTAAATCAAATCCACCCTGGTTTAAAGCACATTATAAAAATACTTAAGTAGAAGTCAATCGGGGTGAGAGAACAAAAGAACGGAGTGGCTTAAATGCTTCTAAAAATCACTTTTTCTGTTTTTTTCATAGTCTTCATCTTAATTTTTATATTAAATCTCATCTTTTGAATTCTCACTTCAACTCTCATCTCAGTATAAAGTTTATGCAAGAGCAGCAGTAATATTAATTTACATAAAGTCCAACAACAGCACGGATGAAAGCGATTATAGTGCTAGATGTACTTAGATGTATCTATTCTATTCCTTTCTTCCTTTTTTCTTTCTTTTATTTTTCCTATTGTTTTTACTTAACTTTTTTAAAATATTAAAAAAAAAAGTGAGAAAACAACTTAGATCTCCGCATAACATTAAAAATCATCTATATTTGAAAAGGTTATATGTCTGATAAAGTTAAATGCTTGGAGAGCATTTTGCTACACTTTTAAGTTAGCAAAGTAGTTCTTAATCATCAAATCTAGCCTATTTTTATTTTGGCCAAATAAGAAATAATCTTTCCTTTTGGGAAGGATTTGGGTCTTGTTGCCCTTAGAATAATATATTTACAATGGGTTTGGAAAAGAAAGTTGAGATAACAGAAAATTATGTAATTGATCTAGATATTCTGCACTACTTACCTAAAACTAATTAAAATTTGATCCTAGGAAAAACAACTAACCAGCTTTCCTTGTTTTTCTATCCATAATTTTTTAAGCAAAAAGAAACAAATGTAAAACCCTATCAGGTTAGCTTTGTTTTTAACCTTAGTTAAGTGCTTGAGAAACCAATTTAGACTTTGTCTTATCTTCTGAAAGCCTCATGAATTGTGAACTCCCTTTAGGCTATTTAGTCTGTCGTATTCAATTCAATTTAGTCTGCAGTATACATCTGATGCTGCCCTGGTTATGTGCTGCACCCTAGATGAATTCTTTAAGTAGAATTTTTCCAGTTATGCAATGTTGGGTTTTCCCCCAATCAGTATAAATTTCTGATTAGAAGATAAAAGCATCACTGAGATTATTAGATATGGACACATTAAATCGAATTGAGGCAATGAAAACCTGAACTATTTGCATCCTATATAAATATTTGATCTTTGTCAAGCCAGCTTTTCCTGTAGCAAACTGGCATTCTCCTCAGTAAGTACCTTTATACATAATCACTCTGTCCTATGGGCACCAAAACAGGAAATATAATGTACATTTATTTATTTACCATCATTCCTTTTCAGAGCATCAGCAGAGTCAAATGTATACCCTATGAAGATGCCTGTATCCAGTCATTTTTTCCAGTCTTTCATATTCTGTATCTTTCAACACAGTTGAAAGATATAGGAAGTTGGATATATTATTGCATCTTAAAACTACCTCAATTTTAAAAAGATGGTACTGTTATTCCTATTATATACTTTTGGAAGCAATAACTAATCTGTTATTTGGTATACCAGTCCACTCATCAAAAATATTATTACAATCCTTAGTACTTACTTGTGAATCAAAAATATATCAAAGGTATAGCGAGCCAAAAGTGTATTTTTATACTATTTTATATATATTAATAGTAGTTCAAAAGTTAATGAAAAAATACTGAATAGCTACCATGCCATTTTCCTTTATAAACTGTTCCAAATGAGCCTGATCCAACTCTGGTTGAGAGCATAACTTCACTTGCTTCTATTTCCCAATAATAGCTTGAATCCCGCTGTCCACGTTGTCTCTGCAAAACAAGCAAGTATTTCTAGTACAGACAGCACAACATGGAATCCATGTTTTAAGGTTTTATTAAAAGTATATATGAAATGTTTCATGATATTTGAATACACAACCTGCATTGGCCGGACGTGTGAAGTTGAATTGTGCATTTAAATTCTGAACAGAAAATAGTGTAAAAAAAATTAGGATTAAATCATTAGCTTTCTGCTCAGAAATATAGGGATCATCTGATAATTTTGTTCCCAATAAAATGTTTCAAGTTACAGAACTCATCTTGCATTCTTCTAAAAATAAATGCAATTTCATTTCTGTTCCTCTGCTTCTTTTCTAATACTCACTGCATTGTTGTTAATTAGCATGAGTTCCCCTACTAGCCCAAGAGGCTGGAGCATATACTACGGTACCATTACAATTCTAACATAGAAGGTATGGGCGAATACCTCAAATACAAATAAGAAAACATTCTATTTTATAAAAGCCCTGCATTGTTTTTGTTTAATTTGATTAAAGGATGCTAGTGTATATCCTCTTCCCAACCTCTTCTTTCTTTGAACAGTTATGCGGAGGGAAGCTGTATTGAAAGCTTTGAGACTTCAACTGCAAACTTGCAAGCAGAGTTCCAATCAGATATGGTAGAGAGAGAACACCAATTTTGACAAGTTAATTCCTTTTTTTAGAAACTCACATAATATTCAGGTTAGGTCAGAAACATTTAGCTACACCTATGTACAAATCAGACCTGAATGTGCAGATATTTGATGTCTGTATTATATTCATTTTATACAACTGTATTTTGATACTTACTATTTTTTTTTCTTGCGGATTAGCTCCTGCAGCTCGCTCTCTTTGAGCCGGGACTGGTGTTTTAGGTTGTGACCACCCTGTTGGACTTGTATTGTTGGGGCTTCCCGATATCGCTGGTGGTGATGCTTCAAATATTTAAAGAAAAAAGTAATAGATTTTAATAATACAGTATTCCTTCACAAGCAAAGATTGTAGACAAGAACTGGCATGAAACCAGCATATATGCCACATTGTATAAAGACTAAATAGCACATGACAATATTAATGCTACCGTGTTTCTCCAAAAAGAAGGCCGGGTCTTATTTTCTTTTGACCCCCGAAAAAACGGCTAGGCCTTCTTTTTGGAGGGTTCTAATTATTGACTCACCTTGTGGCAGTGGCACTGACAGCCCCGCCGAGCAGGAGCCCGCTGCTGGCCCATTTCCTCTGCAGCTGCTTGCCGCCACTCACATGCATCGCCCCAGCCTCCGTTTTGCCTTCAGATGCCTGCCGGAAGGCATCTGGCAACTGATAACAGAGCTCCAGATCGATCCGGAGCTCTGTTATCAGCTGCAGATGCCTTCCGGAAAGCCCTCTGCAGCTAATAATAGAGCTCTGGACCAATCCAGAGCTCTGTTATTGGCAGCAGATAACAGATGCCGGCAGGCATCTGAAGGCGAAACGGAGGCCAGGGCGATGCGTCAGAGTGGCGGCAAACAGCCACAGAAGAAGGTGAGACAGGTGTCTGGGTGTGTGAGGCCTGGTAAATAAGGTAGCTCCACCCACCCCCCATCCCCACCCTAGCTTATTTATTACCTGTATGCCTCGTCCTGCCCCCTGCACCCCAGAGTGCAGGGGCCTTAATTAGGCCTAATTTTGTAGGCGGGGCTTAATTTGATCGCATGCGCTCAAAAAAGTGATAGGGCTTCTTTTCAAGGTGGGTCGTCTTTTTGGAGAAACATGGTAGCATATTTTAGCCCTTCCCATTTATACAGGTAATCCTCATTTAACGACTGGCCTCTTTAGCAACCATTCAAAGTTGTGACGGTGCTCAAAATTACTACCAATCCTCGTACTTATGATCACTGCAGCGTCCCACAATCATCTGACCATCATTTGTACATTTCACTGCCAGCTTCTAACAAGCAGACTTAATGGAGAAGCCGGCACTTAATGACTGTAGGGAAAAGTGATGTTAGTCAGCCACAGTCACATGATGTCTCACTTAACTACTGTGTCACTTAGTGACGGAGATGCCAGTTCCAACTGGGATCGTTAAGCAAGGACTATCTGTATACACTACTCGCTATAATGCAAAATACAGCAGTTTTTCTTCAGAACATTCTGTCTGACCTGAGTATTCTAGATAGTTTGAGCATTTCCAAAAGTGCCTATTTCAGGAACACTTTGAAACATTTCCTGTTTCCCAGGATATACATTTGGAGAGGACTAAATTCTGGCAGGAAAATTAAAAAGTTGTGGATTGCTTCATTTCACACTTTTAAGGAGCATCTAATTACCATATTTTAGTGAATGCACTCACCAGATTCACTGTGACTACGTATAGCATCCTGAAACAAAAGGAAAAAAAATATTGTCACTCTTTCAATATAACTTCTGTGAGAAACAGAAGAGTAGCCAATGTCTCTGTAAGAGAACCTGACTCAGCAGCTTTGATTTTAGACTTCAAAACATCAGCCAAGACATATGGTGAGAAGGGATATTGGCAATTCAAAGCACAAGGAACCCTAACTGCACTTTCAGCAATTATAACATGCTTAGCATTCAAAATGAGGCCCAAGTGATTTATTTGCAGTTTGTACAGGAATGTCAAAATTGTTGTCCCCATTTTTGTGCTCTGCTTAGAGATTATTTTAATAAGTTGTTTACAGGCAATCCAAAAATAAATAAACCGAGAAAAGAAGAACAAATGCATAGGACGGTTTAATATTTCAAATTCATTTTCGCATAAAATGTTTTTTATCCTAGTGTCTAAAGCAGATACTTTGCTGAAAATATAACAACAAACTGGATCTGTAAAAAAAAAAAGAATAATAATAATCAGATGCCCTCCAGCATAGCACTGCTGCAGCTGACCTGGTTTCTCTTTCTCTTCCTTAATGTTACACATGCTAGTCTATGTAAACATGCACAGCTGTGATCAAACACACATTTGTACTGTTCCTCATCTGTCCAATACTGTCCAAATCAATATCTGGATAATTGACAGAAAGACGTACATGCCCAAATACTCCAGAAAACAATACCCAAGGTCAAAATGTGGGCAAAAAAATGGCTTAAAGGCTTGAATGGCTTGAAGATGATGAATATGTTTGTCTCAGTAAATTGGCTACAAACCACTCAGAATTTTTTTTGAAATATAAGTGGGTTTGAGAAATAGTGAAGGTTCAAATAATTTTCCAATAAAGCTATGAAAAAGTTGAATGGAATCCTGTGTGAGAATTACATCATATATTCAGTTATAAATTCAGACAAAATAGGTTCAGTTATAAAAAAAGCAACTGGGAACAACTTCAGGGCCTAAGAATTATGTGTAAAACCATCATATTTATTGTTTTGGTTCTACTTTTTATTATACAAGGCATAAAACCGTGTTCCAGAAAATCAGCAGAGCTTCTGAAACAGTTCTTGCACGTGTGCAAAGGGAAAAGAGCAGTTTAGACTGAAAGCAACTATTGCATGTTCTTGTAGATTTATGTAGAACACCGGTTGTTTTCCAATGTTTTTTAAAAAATCCATTCTATTTTCAGAAAGACATAGAACCAAGGACACAAATTGCTAAAAATTTATTTATTTTTAATGCTAAAAATAAATGGCTGTATTTCAGCCATTTTGAAATTATACCAATTTCAAGTTTTACCAAGTCATACTAATTTGAGAATCACTTACTTTCACTTCAGTTATGTATTGTATGTTCTCTTTTAAGAGAAAAAAATATATGCTGAAATCTTACTTTATATTAACTGAACTATGAATGCAGATTCCCATTCAACTGCTTAGTGAGAATCTATATTAATTCCTCAATAAACAGATAGCTATTGCCTATTTTTGTATATGTATTTAACCAGCAATTGGAAAATATAAGAGGATGACATTGAAATGAAAAAGTTCAGGCTAAGTGGCTATGGGATCTTATTCTACAGTGCTATACTGCAACTGAAATTCTACTAAATAAAACACAGCTCTGATTTTTGTATTAGGGTCAAGCAAACATGCCACACCAGTACTTCAATATGAAGTTTCAGTTAATTCACTCTAATCTGATCAGCTGTTTTAGCAATTTTGTTAAATGAACCAAGCAAAGGCATCCAGATAATACCTACTCTTCCCCTTAAACAGAATCGTCTGCACCAGGACCTGGGAGAAGCATTCAGGCTGTTATTCTAGTTCAAAGCAATGAGAAATAAGAAAAGAACAGAAGGAGTAGTAAAAAAACAGATTCCAGCTGCTAAAGATGAAAGAAGTATATAGAACAGACTTGGGGGGGAGGGAGTTAATGTAGTAGCTAAGTGTAGGTTACACTATCTAAGAACTGCAAGAATTTTAAAACTGATGCAATCGCCTCACAAAGTTAGCCAAGCAGACCTTCCATAGACCATGAAAGTTCCTGTAAAGGAAGTTCTCAAAATTATCTTCTTCCCCCTCCCCAAAATTGGAGAGCAGTAAGATTCCGCTATAAGCCAAACTTGCATGCAGAACGGACCAATGAAAAAGAATTCAAGTATGTTGAATTCTTAACCGTATAAGAAAAACACCTGAAAAGAACCCAATAGTGCAAAATCAAGTAGAAGGAACATTGGACTTACCTGCAGGTTCTTTCTCCTTGCGCTGCGTGAGAGTCCATTGAATGGGTTAATCCTCATGTGACTGGCCAGAGACTGAGTAAGAATTTGCATAAATATACCTCCTCTTCCTGTCTAGCCCCAGTTCTGAAACGAAGTCCGGATCTGAAGCAACAGAAACTTGAACGGAAAGGGAGTTAATAAAAGTCCGGAACCCACCAAAAAAGGGAGGGTATGGACTCTCATGCAGCGCAAGGAGAAAGAACCTTCAGGTAAGTCCAATGTTCCTTCTCCCTTGCGCTGCTTAGAGAGTCCATTGAATGGGATATACCCAAGCTAAATATCTCTGTGGGGGGGGAAGAAAGAGAGTCAGGCAGACCCTCCGTAGGGAGAACCTGTTGGAGCACTCCGCGACCAAAGGCAGCTTTGGCTGATGCAAACTTGTCCAATTTATAATTGCGAATGAGGGGCATCGGTGAAGCCCAAGTAGCCGCTCTGCAGATCTCGAGAAGAGGAGCCTGGGTGGCCCAAGCAGCAGTGGTGGCCATACTACGCGTTGAGTGCGCTGTAATGCGCCCAGGTAAAGGCTTGTACTTCCGATCGTAGGCCATGGAAATGCAGGCTTTGAACCAGTGAGCGATGGTGGAAGAAGACACCTTTGAACCACGGGAGCCCGGTTGCTGGAAATGAATAATGATTCGGATTTATGGAACGGAGCTGTCCTGGCAATGTACCTTTTCAAGGCCCGACGAACATCTAACGAGTGCCAGAGGCATTCGGTGGGATGAGTAGGCCTGGGGCAGAAGTCAGGTAACACAACCTCTTGGGCCCTGTGAAACCAGGTGTTGACTTTCGGGAGGAAGCTGGGATCCATCCACAAAATGACCCGGTCAGAATGAAATATGCATAAGTCCTTGCGTATAGAAAAGGCCGCAAGCTCGGAAACATGCGGATGGATGTGACCGCAACAAGGAAGGCGACCTTAAAAGTCAGTAATTTGAGGCTGGTGGAGGACAGGAGTTCAAAAGGTGATGACATTAAGGACTGAAGAACAAGACAAAGATCCCAGGAAGGGTACCTGTGGATGCGGGGGGGACAAAGGTTGGAAGCCCCCCTTAGGAAACAATGAATTTGTGGATTCTGGGATAGCATGCCGTGATCTTTGCAGAAGAGAACGGTTGCCAATGCCGCAACTTGTCGTCGTAGGGTGTTGACTGCTAGGTCAGCATCCAGTCCCTCTTGAAGGAAGCCCAACACCTGTGGAATGGATGCTTCCATGGGTTCAATCTCTGAAGAGGTACACCAGCGACGAAACGAAGACCAAGTCGCGTTGTAAATACGGGTGGTGGACGCTCTGCGAGAAGCGAGGAGGGTAGATATAACTTCGGAAGAAAATTGCTCCCTCTTCAGGATCTTCTTTCAAGTGCCAGGCAGCTAACGGGAACCATTGGGGTTCTGGATGGTGGAGAGCCCCCTGGCGAAGAGAGATCTGATCTGGAGGGATCCTCCATGGGTGGCTGATAGATAGGCCCATGAGGTCCACAAACCATGCCCACCAAGGCAAAAATGGGGCAACGAGGATGACCCTCCTCCAAAATCTTCCGCACGACCCTCGGTATCAGAGATATTGGGGGGAAGGCATAAAGAAGGCCTGGCGGCCACTGGCAGTAGAAGGCGTTGGTCCCTTCGACTTTTGACAACCGCCAATGGGCCCCTGAAGGGAGGGGGCACTATTTTCTACGGTAGGGACAAATATTGGAGCCCCAAAAAGGTCGCCTGGCTTGATGCTGATGAGTGCGTTCTCTGAAAGACTGTCTGTCTTGGGACCTGTCGGATGTCTGATGAAACAGTAGGTGAGGAGCCAGGTTTTGTAAACCTGGGTCAGAAGATCAAAAGGACTGCCTCCGATAAGGGAAGGCAGACCGTCTATCAGAGCGTCTGAAAGTAAAAGGGAGGACCTTTCTCTTGTCCCTATCTTAAATTAGGATAGGGTCCAAGACTTCACCGAAGAGGGAACTGCCCTTGAAGGGAGCTGCAGTCAGGCGCCATTTGGTTCTCATTCCACTTGCCAATGGCGCAGCCAGAGAAGACGGCGAGACGTGACATTGGATGCCAGGGCATGCAAAGCAAATTTGGCTGTGTTAAGAGTCACATCAGCGGCATATTCCATAGCGGCGATTATCTTATTGATGTCCTGATGCAAACAAGCATCTTCAGGCGACGCTCTAGCCTGCATCTGGCGCAGCCAAATAAGGGACGTCCTGGCAAAGAAGGACGCAGCTGTGGCAGATTTGATAGCCCACGCAGTGGCCTGGTGGGTCTTATGGGTGGAAATTTCGGCCCGTCTATCTTCTGAATGGAGACCTCAGTTGCATCAGATGGTAGAATGTTAGGAGAGGTAAGGCTGGCCATGGGAACGTCCACCGCGGGAAGCTTAAGGTGGTCCTCGAGCTCCTGTTCCACAGTGTACAGTTTCTTATCCAGCCCACTGGGGTTAGAAATCAAACCAGGTTGGGCCCATTGGCGCTGGACAGTGTCAATGAAGAGTTTAGGTGATGGTATGACCTCTTGTTCGATAACAGCTTCTGTAAAAAGAAGACTGGTGGAGTAAGTGGGATCAGAAGAGGCTGCCGTGTGTGCCAAAGTGGCCCCCATATTGGCAGTGGCTTTTGCCTTATGTAGTAAGGTCTTAAACAACTCATGTCAAAAAAAAAGACCTGTGGAACAGTGTCTATCCGATGAAGTTTCCTCCTCCTCCCCAGAGAGGTTGTAATCGAAAGCATCCTCTACGTCCATAAGAGATTGGTCACTGCGGTGAGAATGAGAGTGAATGGCCACAGAAGAATCGCTGTCCAAATGGGACGAGGCCCTGGAGAGCTGGCGTGTCTGAGCGGGAGCAGATGATGGAGCCAGAATACCTCTTTGGGCGAGGGCTGCATCAATGCCCTTAGCCACTGTCTATGCAATGAGATCGCACATTTCCTGGGAAATGACAGTCGGATGGCCTTCCTCCGGGCAGAGTCCTGCCACTGTAGGAGTGAAAGTGGAAGATGGCCTGGAGGCGCGAGTTTGCCTAGGTGGATCCAAGACGGAATCGGTTCCCTGAGAGAAAACCTCCCTGATTACAGCCTGGTCCTCTTGCTCTTCTGTGGAAACATTTGGAGACCAAGAGGAGATCTCCTGCTGAATTTGAGGAGATATGTCATGCCCCAGGGCTGAGGTGGAGGGGGGGGGGGGGGGGGGAAGTGGGGGGGGTAGGAGGTATAATGGCTTCTGACAGCTTTTTTGCTTTGTCAAGTTGCTTGTTTAAGGCCAGATGCCTTCTCCTGGCATCTTTCTCAGATGCAGTTGGAAGAAGAAGCAGCAGCCTTAGATGATTTGGCCCTGGTAGAGTGCTTATCCTTAGATTTACCTCTGTGCTGAAAGGGAGATTGGGATTTTCTAGAAGGGGAACAACTGCGGTCAGCCATTTTGAAAGGGCCGGTGGCAATGGGAAAAAAATGCAGAGAATGTGATCCTAAAATAATTGGTGCCAGGGATAATATAAAGAAGCAATCCGGATGCAGTGCTGAACGAATTCCAGCTGAATTAGTAAATGTTTAAAATCCTGGGAGGTGTAACCAAAATGGCACGGGGCTGACAGGACAGACCTGATGAATAAACCTCACACTGAGACTCCAAAATGGCGCTGGGCTGACAACACAGCCCACAGGCACTTCAAAATGGCAGCAGAACTGCGTGGAGCTGACAAAACAGCTCTTTAAAAGCCAAAGGGTCCCTGAGGGAGAGGCAGAGAGCCAACAACATAGCTCCTGAAGCACCCTAATTACCTGCCAGAGAGTGAAGCAGGGCTGACAAAACAGCCCCTTGCGCTTAAAAATTGAGCCCAACCAAGGCGGGAGCCGACGAAACAGCCCCAAGGCAATTTAAAACGGGCAGAGCGAAGGAGAGCTGAGCTCCAACAACACGGAGCTATCCTCGATCCCCGCAGCGCGAAGCTGACAACACAGCTTCCCTCGCGCTCCCCAGTCAAATCACAGCAAGGCGATCTCCCTTGGAACAGCAAGCAGAGGATCCTTGTGTCCTTGGCTAATGGTGGCGAAATAAAGTCTCCGATGACGCTGGCAAAGCCGCGGCTCAGCTGAGCGGCACTTGGCCAAGTGCAAATCCAAAGATCGGCAACGTCTGGGAAGACTTTCAGGAAGGACTGAAGCTTGGAGAAGCTTTTTAAATTTCTTCCAAAATCTCTCTAAATGATTAGAGAGTCAAAAGAATGGAGCTAGACGATAAACAAGTCTCTAAGACTGGACTGAGTAAGGAATTGGGGCTAGACAGGAAGAGGAGGTGTGTTTATGCAAATTCTTACTCATTCTCTGGCCAGTCACATGAGGATTAACCCATTCAATGGACTCTCTAAGCAGCGCAAAGGAGAATTAAACTAATCAATTACATTTCATTTCTCAAAAATGGCCCCCTAACTTCATTCAATGAAAAATCAAGGGGAAAAAAATCATGTCCCCACTTTGTTCATCTCAATACTTTGGGAAGCACTCCATTGCTGGTTTCAGCATTTCTAGATGTGATAACATAACCTATTTATCTGTTCCAGTAAAGGCAGATTAATGCAACGTACATGAATACAAAGAAAAACCCACCATATTCATGCAATCATGAATTCAAGGAACTCAAAATTCTAACATTGCCATGTCTCTAAAAACTGTAAATTTGGTCACTACTACCTGGGGACATTTTTTTATAGAAAAGGCAAATGGTTTTCCCAGAATGAAAATTTGAACCACAGTATTATGCAAGAAAATTTTATTATAACAAGTCTCTGGATATCTTTCATGACCTCTTCCTATGAGTTTTAACATTCACATACTTGAAACTTCACCAATATTAACAATACTCCCAAAATCTACATTGGCATCATACTACCCTGTTATTTGATATCTGCATTAAGAAAAGAAAATCAGTATTAATTTTCTTTTTACTTTTGTAGTACAGTAAGTAAAAATTAAATCTAAATCTTTTGGATCTCAAGCAAACAACATTTAACAATCTGTGTTTAATTTTATTCATGGCAGGCCTTGTAATAAGGCAGACTGCTTTAGACAAAATAAACTGATTCCAAAATATTAAAATACAACAAGATATTATCTATTTATTATTATATTTTTATTCTCAGAAGATGTATTTCCAGATTATTTGTTCAAATGCTACATTGGAAAGAATAATGTAGCAGCCTTTTTATCTTAGAAGGCATAAATATCATATTGTTCTGGGTCCTGTTATACAAAAGTTGTTCTTTATTCTACTCAATCAGCTATTGTAAGCACAGTTGTAGTACAGTCATAAAGATCAAAATTGGCTCCACTATTCATTAGTTAGCAGAGATAATAGCACTGAAAGCTTGATATATTATTAGATTTAACATACATGGCAGCAATGACTTGTTCTTTGATCCTCTAATAGCATAGACAATTGATAATTTATGTGAAGATGTTGCCTGAGAAATGTTTGAGAAAAGGGTTTTTCTTAGGCCAGGCACACAGCAAATGAACAGCATACAACATAGCTTAATGATTTAGAAAATCAGAAAAAATACATCTGAATGAAACCAACTTTAAGAGTTATTAAATAGACATGCAGTTAGATATTGTAAAATACCAATTAAGTAATAGGGAGTAAGAATACCTCAATTATCCGGTTATCCACAGGCATAGTAGTACTGACCATGTGGACATTTGGGGTAGAGGTGGATCTCTGCCTTTGAGAAAGGGAACATTCAGGAGAAGGATTTGTTCCACTGAATGTGAAGACATGAGGTGTAGAATATCTATGCTGAGAACTAAGGAAAGAAAACAAAATTATAGATGTATGCTTTTATATGAAGACCTTAGCATTAACTTATGAAAATCTATAGAACCTATTTAAGAATAACAAGTTTTATGATATAGTCCTCTAGAAATAAAAAGTTATTTTGGAAATGATCAGAACTAAGATTTTCCCCCTAATCCACCTTGGTTTTTTACACCAGAGATTCCCAAAATATGCAGATTAGGAAACCAATTTTAAACGATGGCTTTGAATAGGTTTATTCCAGGGGTGAAATGTAAAATTTGTTACTATCGGTTCTGTGGGCGTGGCTTGGTGGGGGGGTTAATGTGACTGGTGGGCGTGGCCAACTTTTTTTAAAAAAAAACTTTTCAAAGCATTTTTTCTGCAAATGCAAAAAAATGCTTTGAAAAGGCTCTGCCGATCAGGCAACACAGCTGGAATCGTCAGAGCCTTTTCAAAGCATTTTTTAAACCATCTCTTCCGCTGAAGAGGTTACAAGAAAAAGTGCTTTAAAAGTCTCTCTGATGATCCCAGGTAAATTGCCTGATCGTCAGAGAGACTTATAAAGCATTTTTTTCTGCAACCTCTTCAGTGGAAGAGGTGGTTTAAAAATGCTTTGAAAAGGCTCTGACGATCCTAGCTGAGCCGCGCGATCATCGGAGGCTTTTTTTTTACTTTTAAAAGCATTTTTTCGGCAGTTGTTGTTGTAGAAAAAATGCTTTTAAAAGTAAACAAAAAAAAAGCCTCTGATGATCGTGCAGCTCAGCTGGGCAAGGGGGGGGGAGCAGGGATTTTTGCTACCGGTTCTCTGAACCACCCGCCACCATTGCTACCGGATCGGGCGATCCGGTCCAAACCGGGAGCATTTCACCCCTGGTTTATTCTCAACTATGGAGTGCTTTACAAAGTAACTCCAGGTAATCCTCGCCTAACATTTATCCATTTATTCATGACTGCCTTCCCGGTTACTTCCCCATCATCTTTTCCTGTCTCCCTGTGCTCTTCATCCCGGCCATATGTGGAGGAGCACTGTAGCAATGTCCCACGTGCCAGGAGTGAGAACTATGAGTGATGGACAGGGGGCAAGGGCAGTGGTGTGCATTAAGGAGTTTGGGCAGTTATGGATTGTGCATCCCTACTAGCTGGGGCCTTCTTTTCCAAGACACAAAAAAGGCCCTGGCTCTGGTGGTATGAAAGAAGGGCATAGCTGGTAGTGACATGCAGTGTGCTGGATATGGCAGTGGGTGGGGTGATGCAACAGATAGTCCGGCACACAAAAGGGCAGAGCTAGTGGGTGAGGGAAAGTGAAGTGGAAGCACTTATTGCTTTAGATCAGGGGTCGGCAACCTTAAACACTCAAAGAGCCACAAAGGTCCTAACCGGAAGCCCCCGTTCAATTCTGGAGTCGACCGGAAGTCTGGTTCCCCACCATAGAGTCTCCTCCTAGCGCGGCATCCTTTTTTCCTCTACCTGTCCTAACCAGAAGGCCTATCAATTGTGGAGCTGACCAGCAATAGGGAGCCGCAGCAGAGGGATGAAAGAGCCACATGCTGCTCCAGTGCTGCAGGTTGCTGACCCCTGCTTTAGATTGAGAGGCAAAGGAATTACTTCTTAACTTATGATGAGTGTGCAAAGCTAGACTACTTTGCTGGGCATCCTGAAATGGTATTGAAGAAATGAATCAATTTGAGATGAAGTGTTCTTTCAAAAAAACTTACCATTTTACACACATAAATTTTGCCCAGAAATTCATAATACTGCCAACTTGTGAAAAACAGTAACAATTTAATATAATACAACTTAAAGGGCTGCTTACTTAATGGGCATCCGAGAGACAGATTCACGTATTCGCCGAGTCATCAAAGGAGGTGCTGAGATACCACTATCACCAATATTTGAATGTGGAAATAATCTAAAATCAAAGCATCCAAAGAAAAAGTTACTGAATTCAAGAGATCTTAACATTTCAACCAGGGCAGCTCTGCTTTTTCCAAAAAGAAAAATCTTAGGAAAAATCATAATCAATTGACACAGTATTTAAGTTTAAAAATGCATTCACATGATACACTATGCCATAACTAGAAGGTATTGTATAAACCATGGGTAAGCAAAGTACGACTTAGCATGATAAACTTAGAATTCTTTTACTGACAGCTAATCATGGTGAAAGGATAGCACCAAGTTGGGATACACAAAAGATTTTGGATGCAAACAACTTTGAATTTGAGGCGCTCCCATTTTGAGTCTAAAACAGTTACTTGGAAACATGCTATTTTGGGTTCAAAGCAGAGGTGGTATTCAGCAGGTTCTGACCAGTTCTGGAGAACCGGTAGCAGAAATTTTGAGTAGTTTGGAGAACCGGTAAATACCACCTCTGGCCCCGCCCCCATCTATTCTCTGCCTCTCGAGTCCCAGCTGATCAGGAGGAAATGGGGATTTTGCAGTAACCTTCCCCTGGAATGGGGAGGGAATGGAGATTTTACAGTGTCCTTCCCCTGCCACGCCCACCAAGCCACACCCACCAAAACAAACCACACCCACCAAGCCACGCCCACAGAACCGGTAGTAAAAAAAAAATTGAATCCCACCACTGGTTCAAAAGGGGAGATTTCAAGTTCCAAATATTATCAAAATGATTGAAACAACACATAATGAATGCAGAACAGCCATTCTGAACACAAAACAAGTCATTTTGATTTTAAATGCTTTTACAGATTTCTTGCAGAAGTGTGTAAATTGTCATTCTATCACAAGAATCATATTAGCTTTAGTAGAGATCTTTAGTACAAAGTCAGAACTAGTAAAAAAAAACTAGCAAAGAAAAGAGTAAAAAATTTACCAAGACAAAGGACTAGTAGACCTGCTTACTCACTGCTTCTTTAATTATAGTTTACTGAGCAAATTACATTTGGCTTAGCTAAAACATGGAAATCCATATATATCACAATTTCTAAACCACCATAGTTGGATTCACCACACCAAAATCAAATAAAACACATTTTGGTTTTCCATGATGGCCGAATCAGACTATAAATAAAAGTAATTACAATAAAAAGTTGTTTTTAGATTCCATATAAGTACTTTGCTTTGCATCTTTGAACAACACAACCCACTAATAGTTTAGCTATAAAGTTGCAGCAGTGAGTGAAATGACAAAGATTCTAAACAAACAGGAGGGGCAGCTAATTTTACAAATACTTTTCCCCATTCCTGATATTACCTGTTGAAACAAGCACCAGAATTAAAAACAAAAGAAAAACAAACAACTGAGTACTTTAGGGAAACTGCACTGGCAACAAACAGAGACCAAAGCCTAGCTCCTGCCAGGTGTACTAAGGACAAATAAAAAATACAAAAGATGTAGCTAGAGTGCATGATTAAAAGTAACATGCACACAGTTACTGCATATCAAGTCACAGATGGAGGCATTAGATAGGAACTAGGCAAATTGAAATGATAATAGCAAACAAAGTAGTTAAAAGTTTCAGAAAAATTCCCTACAACTTTTACATAGAAGTTTAGGAAAAAATCATCAACCAGGCAATTTTCAATAATAGGGTGATCCCCCCCCCCCAAAGTAATCAGGGTTCTGCATTATTTCAACAATTTAGAATTACTTCTATCCCGGATCCTCAAAAGTCCTTACAAGAGTTGCCGGATATTGCTCCAGTCCACACACATAGTTGGAACTTTTGTGCTGCAGTGCTCATGGAATTTGTAACCGCAGGTTTGACATCGGAATCCATTTAGTAAAAACTTCTGACAGATGTCACAGTATGCAAGCTTCAGAAATGTTTTCCGTGCCTGGAAAACAATTGCAATTGTTTGTCACTTATGTTGCCAATTACAAAGAGCAAACAACTTTCAATAAATGTGTTTTCAAAAACTAACTTTAGTTTATATTTTCCAATTGCTTCAGTACATTTTCATGGGCATTGAACTTTTATAAAAATCAGTAAATTCTAAGCTTTGTGATCAAATTTTAATAAGCACACAGAAACAAATACATGCTCAAACAAGTTTCTCTCTGAATGTATGTATGATACCACACAGAGAAGAAATTCTCAAACTGTCCTTTAATTCCTCCCCCTCCCCCCTCCCAAAAAACAAGTACAGATTGCATTTGCTGACAGTTATCTTTTCTTCTCACTATGTACCATATCGATTTCAAAGATTCTTTGAAGTTCAACATACCCAAAGGGGCAGAAGTTCCAGAAAGGGCTAACCCACGCTAAATTTACAGATGGGTTTTTTAAAAAATACTTTGAAGTATCTTTATATATCCTAGCCCAATGCATGCATTACTAAATGAAAAGGCAAAAGGATCATGGAATTGTGTGTTCCAATCTTTGTACACTGATGACAAGGGCTTTTACATCATACAGAGAACTGCACATTTCATACAGAGGGTTACATATTCAGCAACGTTTAGTCTTTCTTTACATTTTTCTCACCAATTTTCAGAAGTTTCAGAAAAAAAGAGCTGAAGCTGGCATGTCCCCTGCTCCCTCCATACTTTCATTTTGTAATACCTGTACTTGATTAGTGAGAATGTTCTATTACAATCATTAGGCCAAGATTGGAAGAAGCATTAAGCATAGCAATAATCCAGGTGCCTACAGGATCGTAATATAAATTAGAGTATTTTCTGACTCTTTCTTCATGCAAAAAAGGAAGGTCAGAATATCTTTGACTACTATCTATTTACGTATATATGTATCAGGAGAACCCATTCACAAATTTTCTGCTAAGAACTATAGAGGAGCATGCAGAATGGAAAAATCACTAAATGGTTAAGAAAAATAGTTTGTATTATTTACATTAATTAAAAAATAATTTTCAAAAAATGTAGGCACTGATGCACAGATCAGAGGAGGAACTCTGTAGTTTACCCGACTACTTTAGGTATAAAATCCAACTACAACTACACTTCTGACCATCTTAATGGACATTTAGAAAAGAGAGGTTTTAAACTGCACTTGGTAATTCTTAATCTTGCAAGGAAAAATGCCCAATGCAAACAAGAAAAAAACTGTAGAAAAGAAAAGGACAATATACTACAAGACTAGTGAACAAAACTGTTCATTTTATATCAATATTGGAAAGACAGAAAACTCAACTATATTATAGCTTTCTGATGTACATGTTTATTTTGTGAGAAGACAAAATAAAGAATTAAGTCTGTATACAAATCTAGCAGCACTGCTTTCCATAAAGCATTGCCAGTTCTACTATACATACAAAAGATCAACATACGAAGTTATGTGTTGTGAGTGGAACATGATCAAGGAAGTCAACTTGTAATTCTTCTCCAATCAAGGATGCAGCATCTGTACTCCAATCTAATCGTGCTTTTTTACTATAAAAACAAATAAAACCTCTTAAATATCTGCAAGTATTCACTTTTCAAAGAAATTATTTGGAAACCTCATTTATTGCAGATAATTGTTAGTTAGAAACAAAATTACCTTAAGATACACATGACAATGTATTTTACTTTCTACTCTGAAGTATTCAAAAATTGCAAACAATAAGAGTATTATAATTGTTCATGGAGCCAAGGGTGGCACATGATAAAACATAAGAAACATCATCATAAAAATACCATCATTTTGTAATTAAGTCAACCATCAGTATAGTACACAAGCCCATAATTTTTGTACTTCCTTATTGATGTCATTGTATCCGTTGTTATTTTGGCATCTTCACTAACTTTGTTAAACATGCTATTGCAACATCTATATAACCACTGGAACCTTAAGTTATCTGGAATTTACACATTCAGGAGAAGAAAACAAACTGACATCATCCATGATTTGCGCTTAATGTGGCCTTCAGTATAAGCCTTAGAAGGACTGAAGTTATCTTCCCCAGCAGCTTGGTATAGAATTATTTGATCTCGTCCTATAAAAAGCAGAGGAATATCTAAAGCGAGAATCATAGCTGATTTGCTTTTTTTAAAAATGTCCTGTCATAAGAGAAGAGTCTCCAGCTGCTATATGAAATGAAATATACTAAATATTATCTTAAATAATCTCATGGGAAGAAATTATTTATATACAATTTAATTCCAATTCTTACCCTCTGTGTTCAGTAAGTAATTGAAAAACAGCACAGCATTCTGGCTGCAGACCTCTAACTTTGAGTGCTTTCATAAGACAGTCATGAAGAGTCATTCCATTACGTACATTTACCTGTTAAACACAAAATAAAGTTTTTCTATTTCCAAAAATATAAATTATTATTTAGCTTCTTAATCTTCATATTTCAATTAAAGAGCAATTGTTCTTAAACTCTAGAAGACTCAATTTGTTAGACAATAGCCAGATGCCTTAAATGCTGGTAAACTCTTACGGTCAGTGGAGTGAATAGAATTGAAAATTCATTTCCTTACTATTGTCAATGTTTTTGGGAGGGAGGGGCATCTATCCCTGTAACTCTGTATACTTTTACCTTGGAAAAACTAAATGCAAAATGCATTAAAGGTATTGACTTCCAACCACAATTGGGACCAGAATTTCTATTGCTAAGCAAGGCAGTTTTTAAGTGAGTTATGCCTGATTTGACAGCCTTTTTTGTCATGGTTAAATTAATCACTGCAATCATTAAGTGAGTCCAGTTTCTCCAAATGACTTTGCTTATCAGAAGCTGGCAGGGAAGATCGCAAATTGCGATTACATGACCCTGGGACACTGCAACCACTGTATATTCATGTTGGTTGCCAAACATCCAAATTTTGATTACGTATCCATGGGGATGCTGCGATGGTTCCAAGTATGAACACCAGTCAAAAGTCACTTTTTTCAGTGCTGTTGTAATTACAATATAGCAGCAACTCTAGGAGATTTACTTCTCAAGAAGGGGTTTGTTAGGGGTTTAGTTGCACTGGTACTAAAGCTGCATTCATTGATTGTTCTTGCATCTAATTATTTTTGCAGGATGGAACCAGGATGAACTGGAGGAAGAAACTGAACAGAGATAGAACATCAGAGATAAAACATTATTTGATCGGGAGATAGGGTCAATGTAGCCAGACTTTTGCAGAGCTGTAGTAACTATAGGGATAACTTGTACCTGGATATTGATGAGTCCAATTTATTACTAATCTCTTGAGGAATTCCTGTCACACAAAGTGATCATCGTATTTGAAGACTGGTTTATCAACCTCACCTAGCCCCAGAGAATCAGATCTTGTGACATCTTCTGCCTTAGTTCCATCATATCTGGATTATACTCTACCAACACCAACTTCAAACAATACTTGAAAACTACAACTGGGTCAAAATGTAGCAGCCCAATTGTTAACAGACATATTGAGAATGTAGGACTGATCTTCTGAAATAGCTACTTGTTTTTCAATTTGTTTCCAGGCTACAATTCACATTGCTTCAGATGATCTCTAAAATTTTAAATGGTTTAGCACCAATACATTTAAAAGAACCTCTTTTTCAATCTGGACTCAATGCCTATGGAAACTGTATTTGAACTGTATTTTGATGGATTGTTTGTTGGTGTTTCCAGTGGTGTTTGTTGGAGTTGTCACCTGAATTCAGGAATTACCGTATTTTTCAGAGTATAAGACGGACCTTAATTTTGGGGGAGGAAAACAAGAAAACAAGAATTCTATCTCTGCCTACCAGCATTTAAGGTGGCGCTGCTTTACACCGCCCTCCTCCTCCTCCTGCAAGAGAGAGGTGCCTCAGAGACTCGGCTGGGAAAGAGGGGGTCGATTACTGAGAAGTTCTTTTCCAGAAAACTTATCGGGGTGCTCCTGCAATCCACAAGGACTACTTGTTTTTCCTGAAGAGACCCTCACATGCTCTGGGGGCAGCCTGAGGAACGAGCCTCTTCGGGATGGTCTGGGGGGGAATCTGCCCAGTGGCTTCAGTGAACAAGGCGGGCCCCACGGTTTGTGAATGACCCCCCTCCTCTGACCGCCCAGCGGGCAGCTCAGGGCAGACAATGGCCACAATGACTTCACTCCCCAGCAATGTAAGGAGCCGCCGCCGCTTAAAGCCCCCTCCATGCCTCGGAGCCCCTAAAGCAAAACATCCCTCCTTTCCAGCCACCGCCACCCGTTGGCCCAATGCAATTTGCAGAGCTACATTTCAGGCGGCAGCTGGTTCCCCTCCAATGTGCTTCGGGAAACCAGGGAGGAAAGCATTTTCAGGTGGCAGCGCCAGCCACACGCCGTGCATTTTGATTCAGGGAGGAAAACGCTTTGCATAGCATAGCAGGGAATGGGGGTGGGGGGTTGATCAGTCGTTTGAAGGGGAGGGGGAAGATACATGCTCTTAATTTTGCATGCCCGTGGTCGGTGTTGGAAAGGAGAAGTGGAGGACCTGTGGGTGCTGATGCTCTGGCCCCCCCTCCCCAACACTCAGGCTGCCCCGGACAAGATCTCCACCATCAAGCGGGTCTCGGAGAATGTAGCTGACTACTTTTACAAGAGATACGGGGGAGGACCCAGGCTGACGGGGGGGGCACCCAACCTGGACAAGGCTGGCTTTTCCCCTCCCCGAATCCAAAAATGGGATGTGCGGCCGCCGGGAGCCGCTCACTCCTTGACCGCTGTTTTGAGGAGGTTACAGACAGCTTTGTAGTACTCGTTGAGCCGGCTCTTCAGCCACAGCACCCAACACCTCTCCACCGTGCAGTCCTTGCAGAGGGCTTTCACTGAGGAAGGAGAAGGATGCCTGGAGGCTGAAAGGCAGCAGCAGGGCCCCCTCCTTGGCCGTTCGGCAAGGGGGGAGCTTCTACCATCCCACTGCCCTAACCCTGTGGAGGAGACCCAGCAGAGAGCTCCCACCCTGGGAAGGAAGGCAAAAGGCCATCTCCCTGAGCTTTCATGGGCGGGCGCCACTTTTGCCAATATGGATTCCTCGGGTCGCACCTCGTCTCTCCAGAGGCAACTCCAAAAACAGTGCTGGGGAAGGTGCAAGGGGGTGGGTGGGAGGAAACTGACAAATGTGGCAACACACCAGTGAGGTGTAACACCAAGTTTGCAACATTTGAGATCTCACATCTCCTGAAGAGCTGGAAGGCTCCCTCCCTTCTCTGCAAGAGCATACCGTAAGCAGTTCCATCTGCCTAGTATTCCCTCACCTTTCCTTTCTTGCTCCTTCCCCCGCCACCCCAAAGCAGAGGGGATCACACCAAGAAGGCGGCCAGGGCCAAAGCCGGCCTCGCCCAGGAAGGCGCACCCCCCACCTGTCAGCCTGGGTCCTCCCCCATATCTCTTGTAAAAGTAGTCAGCCACGTCCTCCAAGACCCGCTTGATGGTGATTTTATCCGGGTGCAGCTTACCGTGAGAGCACAAACAGATCGTGTTGTCGATGGCTTGGGGGGGAGTATCGATTCGTCCAGCTACTGCTGTAGCCATTCCAGGGAAACAAAGTCATAGGGGCAGCCTGAGGGTGGGGGGAGTAGCGGGCCAGAGCATCAGCACCCCCAGGTCCTCCGCCTCTCTTCCTCCAACACCAACCACGGCACGTGCAAAGTTAAGAGTATGCATCTTCCCTCTCCCCTTCAAACGACTGATCTACCCCCCACCCACATTCCCTGTTATGCCCTCCCCGAATCCAAAAGCAAGGTATGTGGCTGGCGCTGCCATCTGAAAATGTTTTCCTCCCTGGTTCCCCGAAGCACATTGGAGGGGAACCGGCCGCCACCTGAAACATGGCTCTGCGAATTGCATCGGGCCAACGGGCGGCGGTGGCTGGAAAGGAGGGATGTTTCGCTTTAGGGGCTCCCAGGCACGGAGAGGGCTTAGGTGATGGCGGCGGCTCCCCACATTGCTGGGGAGTGAAGTCATCGTGGCCATTGTCTGCCCTGAGCTGTTCGCTGGGCGGTCAGAGGGGGGACCAGCCGTGAACTGTGGGGCCCACCTTGTTCGCCGAAATCACCAGGCAGATTCCCCCGACCATCCTGAAGAGGCTCGTTCCTCAGGCTGTGCCCCAACCCAGATGCCCGCCACCTGGAGCCGCCCAAAAACGTGACGCGCAAAGGTCGAATATGTCTGAAGGGTGGGGGCTGGCGGGTGGGCGGGGCTACATTCAGACTATAAGATGCGCCCAGATTTTCACCCTCTTTTTAGGGGGAAAAAGGTGCATCTTATAGTCCGAAAAATACGGTATATTCACTTGGAAATGATCTCATTTCTTCACTAAAATACTTCTAAAAATTGAGAAAATCTTCAGTTCTAGAAAGCTGAACTTTCTGATATACAGTATTGATTGAATATACACCGATACACCGATTTAACCCCTTGCTCTCTTGTTGCTTATTACAGTTGTTGTTGCATTGGAATTTATTCTGATCTTTTGGGGCCTCCAGAACTCATTTAGACAGTTTAAAGCACCAAGATATTGTATTATGGACATTTTGTGGCCAAAAAAAAAAAAATCAGGGTGTGACTTTTGTGTTAAGAACTAGGACAATAATGGTGGAGGAATGGGAACACAAGCCCTCTATAAATTAAAATAACTCACAATCTCTAAGGAGAAATTTCCTGACAGAACAATTAATCAGTGGAATGGCTTGCCTTCAAAAGTTGTAAGTGCGCCTCTTCTATGAATTAATATTATTAGCATGCTTTCCTATCAAATTTACAATTTTAGATTTTGATTGAGAGGAAACCTGGTAAATGTTAATCTTGATAATCAATTATGTAAACAATTAAGGCAAGCAAGGAAAAAGGAAAACAGACATGATAGTTTCTGCCTTTAAAAAAAAACTCACAGTAGACAGCCCAGCACTTTTACACCTATATTAGGCTTCCTTACAATACATAATTACCTCAAATTTAAGCACTTTTTAAGCTAAGGTTAAATTCTATACAGAGAAGGGTTGGAGAATGTCATCACTGTTCCATATTTGGCAAAAAACAAAAAACAAAAGTAGGAAGCCAGAGAAGAAAGCAAGAATGCTATTAACAGATGAGAAACACTTTTTAAGGTAATTTCTATGGGTAAAATTAAGATTCTGTGTAAGTTTACGATTACCATGAGTCCAGAAGCTTGTCAGCCATTTAACAAAAGACTCCATTTCGGATTCTTTCTAATTTGCCTGAGCTTATGTGATTTTTGCTGCTGATGTTTAATTATCTATATTTATGATGTGGATAGAAGTCTAAAATTCTTTGAGGTTCAACTCAGTAGCCTCTTTCAAGCCAAGAGCAAAACACAAGAAACCATCTAATGTCCAGAAAGGGTGCATTAGCAGGACCTACTCATAAGAGCAGGTATACATATATTCAGAGAAATTACACTAGTCTCACTACTCTCTCCAAAGTTATGTGTGTGTATATATTGAATAAACACGTTGAACAAAATGTCAGTGTATCCATTCTGGACTCTTCCACATTTAAACATTTTTAGACTACTGGAGCACTGGAATATTTATGAACTAGTAGAGAAAAAACAGTGAATCTTTTATTTTGACCAAAACAAGAAACAGACTCACCACTGTGCGTTGCTTATTAGGCAAAAAAACACGAATAGTATTACTTGTCTTGGAGGAATCTAAAAGTTTCCCATCATCAGATGCTCTGCGCTGATAACCGAACTGTTCAACAATGGTAGGTGAAATACAGCTGGATCCATTGAAGACAGAATCCTTTAATCCAATTCCATCAGGAAGGGTCTTCCAAGCTCCGTGAATGTGGTCCATTGAAGCAGCTTTAAGTAACCAAACCTTTAAAAGAAAGACAAGTCTCCTCAGAAGCATGCTGAAACCAGTTTCTTATTTTGCTATAAAGTAAGTATTTGCAACACCAAATGCATAGTAAAAGATTTATAATTCAGTTATTAAATATAAGAAAACTTCATCAACAACTGCGGGTTTTGGGTTTTTTTTGCCTTAGCGGATGTACACAGATACACGAACATGTTTCTGGAGCAGCACACTATAACCACCAATAAGACCAACTGTTTACAGGTAGTCCTTGACTTACGACCTCAATTGGGACCAAGCAAAGCAGTTGTTAAATGAGTCACACCCAATTTTACAATTTTTTTTTTGCCATGATTGCTAAGCCAATCATTACAGCTGTTAAGTGAATCATGCTGTCTTTAAGTGAATCTGGCTTCTCCCATTGACTTTGCTAGTTGGAAGTTAGCTAGGAAGATCATTAATAGTGATCATGTGAATCCCGAATGCTGCCATTGTCATAAATACACGCCAGTTGCCACATCTCCAAATTTTGATCACATGACCATGGGGATGCCGCAATGGTTGTAAGTGTGAGAACCATTTTCAAGTCATTTTTTTCACTGTTGTTGTTACTTCAAATGCTTGCTAAATGAATGGTTGTTAAATCAAGAACTACCTGTACATTTCTAAGCTTTCTACATTATTATTTCCTTGAATCAACGGACCAAAATTGTTCACAATGCCAAAAGACATACTAAATAATTAATAGCTTGTTTCCTATTTTTTCTTGAAGAAAATCCAGGTTACATGTGCTTCTTTGTAAGTCATAGGAATTTAATTCAGTCGATGAAGGCCAATCTTTTTTTTCCCAGGCTGCAGCACATATGACAGTAATGCATAGGATAGGATTGACATTTTCAGACAATTTTTTCTTTTTTGAAAAGGGAAGCTGTAGTTTTTAGTTTTAAAAGTCAAGTAAGTCTGCTAAGCCAAAGCACTCTTAAGTTATTCCTGAATCCCTGTATATTTAGTTGTCAATTTTCAATGGTATGATTTTGTTAGGAGAGTCTAAGGGCATCAATTTAGCAGTATTTAGGAAAGAAATTAATCCCCCGTTACACTTACAACTGTAACTGTACAGTACAGTTAAAGACTATATAGTATATAAGAACCTTTTTTTAAAATAATCACTGATCAAGTGTCTCATTTAAATACTGTGCTAAACCATGATGCATCTTAACATAGTAACTGAATCTATCCACTCCAGTTTAGTATTGCATAGACCAGGCTATTATTACTTATTCAAACATACAGTACGTAAAAAATGTTTCTGACTTTGTATGGTGTGGCAACTCAGCTACTAGTGCCTCTGTTCTCTTTTCCCACTACAATTTATAAGGAATTAAATGTAGACATTTTTAGAGGGAAAATACACCATACACATAGCCATGCCTAATCAATTACACAGACTACTTTATTTCAGTTCTAATAACAGACATATTTTCTTGCTAACAACTTCTTAAAAAGCTCTGTCTTCATGCTGGAATGATTTTTTTTTTTCAATCAGCCTATACGGAATATTACATACCAATATAATGTTAACAGAAATAGACAAGATTGCATTATTACCATAAGAGACTGGACAACAAGTATACTTTTACTTATCAGTACATTCCCCATTTGACCTAGGAACTAAAGCCTAAACTGAAACCCTATTCTTTTATATTAAATTAGTGCAAGCATATGCAGTTTAAAATGATCTATTCAGGTTCTGAATATTATTTCAGTTTCTAAAACTATAGTGTGGTCTTCATTAACAAAAACCCAACCAGCTTAATTTGCTATAGAATCTTCAACAATTAGAATTTTGCACACAAATTGGAGAGAACAAGTAACCCGAATGGTGAAAAAAGAAAGTACAATCTTTTCCACTATTCCAAACTAGGTTTAGTGGCATCTTGCTTCTACTTAACATTACCTATTTTGTATTATTTTTGCAATGTACACTAAAAACTGACATTTTACCTTGTTAAGGTCAGAAGTGTCATTTTCAGAGAATACTATCAATAGGACACATGCACGCTGGCACATCCAGCTGAAATTTTTTATGAGAACGGATGAATTCATCCAGTCTGACTTTATATCACTTTTTTTGCCACTAGGAGGGAGAAAGGAACCATGCTTTGACAACCTTCACAAAGAACAGATGAGAAAAATGAAAACACCAGCCTTTGGGGTTGCTCCATGATCTCTGGGCTAAGTACTGAATGGCAGAGAAAGGCAAAAGCCTTACCTAGAATTGTGATAGCAGCATAGGAAAATAGTACAGAATAAGCATTGAGGCAGGAAATTTTCCAGAGTTATATTTCTCTGTGGAAATAATTCCATATTACACACAATTTTACAATATTAGTATTCTAATAAACATTTTTCAGGTGAATCATGCACATAGACATCCTATATTGGTAATATATATAGGAATGTGGATTTTGGGTTCTAATGATGGAATAACAGCTCTCAGCTTTTGTGTATTTTTCTTGACATTTAACCAATGTGAAAATCTCAGTACCATACTCTTACTATAGTTTACATTGTGTTGGAAGAAAAACTAAACATTTTGAATAGCATTAAAACCATTTAAAATGGGCATTATTAAAGAAAAATGGAAATAATTACAGTATATGGAATGCAAAATACAATCCTATACATTATAATAAAATAGTTAATCCTTCAGGTGCCACAAGACTCTCTTAATCCTGTTTCTTTGTTGTTACTGTTTGATTTTGGTTTTTTGCTGTAGAAGTCTATCCCTTGTTACACTATGACAATATGTTAAATAACTACAACTATTGTGGTTTATAAAATACAATCAACAGCTAGCACAATGAATGAATCCAACCAACTATAATTTATTCAACAATGCTGCATTATTATACGATCGTGGGATTTTGCTGGAATATTTTGAATCTCTATTTTTCAGAAACTATTAAATGCAATTCATTTAGGTTCAAACATAGCATTCTTCAGTTCGAGAGTATGGATAAATATGTGAAATCATATAAAATATTTCAAATTTACTATTCCAAATGTATTTGAGACACTATTTATGTAAATATATGTTTCCATGAGTCAAAGCAATAAACTAGGATTTAAAGGCTGCTTCAGCAACCATGATCACATTCTTGCTTACATGGAGCCCTCAAATCAGGAAGGGGTTAAGTGTTGAATAGAAATTATTTCACAGAAGCCTTTTTAGGTTTATGTTACAGAACGTTAGGAGCCACGATCCTATATATATAAGGATCCTATATATATATAAGGGATATATATATCCCACATATAATTTGGTTTTCATTTCAGCATGTTCTCATGGGTTTCAGTGTATTAACCATTCTTTTCTGAACAATTCTGAATGTTCTTTTAATTTAACAGACTAAGATTTAGAGAAAAATAGATCCCAGAAGCCTACAAAATTCATGCCATTGTTAGTAGATACTTTAAATAATTATCTCTGGTGAAGCGCTTCTGAAATGTATGCAGAAATTATTCACATATCACATTAAATAAGCACCCTAATTAGTACATTTGTAGCTTTTTGTACATTTTTACAGGTCAATAATGATGACATCAATAACAGTTCATTGAACTCCCAGTTCAGATGGGTTCTCTTATCAAAAGTGGCAAAGGAGATGAAATATTATCAACTCTCAAATGTTACTGTTTGTTGTTTGCCACAGCATAATCAAACAACCTGCAACTTGGCACTTGATATTCCTTGTCTATGCTTTTTGTTTAAAACATTGATAACTCATCTTTTATCTAGAAAACCAAGCAAGCTCTGCCCAAATATCTTCTTCACAACAAACCTATGTAGTAGTTTAGACTGAGAGACAGCAAGTGACACCAATGATTTTCATGACTGAGGATATTTGACATAAAGCTTTCTAGTCTTAGCTCAGTTTTTTTAACAGAGAAATTTTAACATGCTAGAGGCTCATCATTGGATTTTGTAGTTATGATGGTACACTGCCTATTCACTATGAGAATCTCAGGTTCAAAAAGTACTATCATTGACCTGACATTTGTGGAAAGGCTATTTATTCAGGTGTGTTTACTGAAAGGAATTATTTTTGCCAACTCATGTACATTTTCCTGTGCCATTTCTCATACCAAACATAATCTTTGAAAACAGATATTTCAAGTATTTACAAGGTATTAAAAAAATATCTTCACTAACCTTCCTGAAGAATTTCAACAAGGAAAAGCCTAACATCAATAAATCTATGATTTTTGAAAAGTACTACAAATCTTCACAAGATATCTGAAAAGTACATGAGTTGGCAAAAGTAATTCCTTTCAGTAAACACAAACTAATGTACTGTATATTTTAGGGGGGTTATATTTCCTAGTACCAAAAGCAGACATACCATATCCAGACGTCTGAGATAATCAATGCACAGAAACAATATTAAGCAGAAATTAATACATATTGTATTTCCAAAAATAGAGTTTAGCTATTTCCGATGTTTTTCATATATCAGATATAAAATTCACATGAAACTTTCATAAAAAATATCAACATTTGAATGAAGGACAAAAATCAAATAAAATATATTCTGATTTATAACAATATAGAAAGTTACCAAATAACAAATATGAGATGGAGAATTTTTTTTAAAATGTAAATTTAATCCCTAGATTCTGTTCTGTGTGCCTGTGAAAAATAATTTTATACCAATATCTCATCACCCTACTATGACAAATTTCTACATCAGTGGGCTTTTAATGTACTGCCATCAATGTCCCTATCAGGTAGAAATAAATAAATAAATAAGTGAGCCTTGGTAGTACAGGGGTTTAAGGCACCCTGTTATTAAGCTGGTTATTAAGACCAATTACTGCAGGGTTCGAATCTCGCCAAGGCTCAAGGTTGACTCAGCCTTCCATCCTTTCTAAGGTAGGTAAATTGAGGACCCAGTTGTGGGGGCAATAAGCTGACTTTGTATAAAATATACAAAAGGATGAAGGCTATTGCTGAGCACATTGTAAGCCGCCCTGAGTCTTCGGAGAAGGGCGGCATATAAATCAAATAAAAAAAAAAAAAAATTAAAAAAATCTGCTGCTTCTAAAGTATTTGTCATTCTGATCAAAATAAGTCATATCCTTCTGTACTTCCTTTTTGATAATTCATATTATTACTTATTTGATATGATATATCACTATCTACGTCAAATCAAAATAATACATTCAACAAATTGCTTAGTAGCAAGAACTGAGGATGTTATGCTGAACTAGAACTATAAATATTGCATAGCATGTAATCACCACCAAATTATCAGCATAATCTCAAATTATGCTAGGCACAATGTACACCATTTATATAATGGCAGCAGAGTGGCTCTTTGAAGGGGGATATAAACAGTCCTCTACTAGAAATTCCACAATGGGAAAGTTCTGTACACTAATGGATCTTTATAAATTGAGATGCAATTTCCCGAAAAAGGATTGTATGCAGTTTGAGCAGCAAACAAATTTTATATTATCACTGCAGTAACCATAAATTGAAAGGTTCTGAGAAAGATCTGTACAAACTGATTTTTTTTAAAGTACACAAACATGTTTTTCCAAAAATAGAGAGACAGATGACTATTAGGAAAAAGTGAATATTTAACTTTTTAATGGAAAGTTAAATGTCTTACCAATTAAACAACTTTAAAAACTCAGTTTTTATGATCCTGTAATCCTTCAATTAAACAACTAAAACAGTAAATGTATGTGAAAAAGAACATAAATCGTTCTAAAAATATATTCAGGAATTTGGAAAGTTTCCTTTTAGAATTCTTCCACATACAGTATGGCAGAAACATAATCTTTACTGGTTTTATTATTTGTATCTGATTTTTAATGTGTTGCTTTTTGTCTTTACTTTGTAAAACCCACTTCATACTCTTAATATTTCAGAATTCGATTGTATTTGTTTCTAAACTTATACCTATCAACACAGATGATAATCATTATCAATTCTCATTTTCAAGGTGTGAAATGCCTTCCTTTCAAGTGTCTTTATTTTCAAGGGCTGACCTACAGTATATGTTTCAGAGATGGCACAACAATGAAAGACTAAGGGCTGGAGTCCACATATTTTGCCACGGGGATGCTGCCATCATCATCCTGGCTAGAACATGCAGAAGTACTTACTGCGTGGAGCTCCGTGATCATGCACTGATATCCCATGCTCCCGTTTTCAGCCACATCTCCACCATGGCAAATGTAGTTATGTGCTCCAGCCCTAAGAATATCAAACGTAATATGTCCATCACAACTAGGCCACACCAGGTTCAGTGATAAAGTGATATACCATATATAATCTGCTCAAATTATTAACTATACTCTTCAGAACATGATAAATTTCTATTTCCCATCTTAGTACACTCCAAACCTTCAACATTCCTCCTTGGTCTGGTGGCTCAGCAGACTGATAGCATTGTGATTAACACCAGCTGTCTGCAATTACTGTAAGTTTGAATCTCACCAGGCTCAAGATTGACTCAGCCTTCCATCCTTTCTAAGGTAGGTAAATTGAGGACCCAGTTTGTGGGGGCAATAAGCTGACTTTGTATAAATATACAAAAGCATGAAGGCTATTGCTTAATGCATTGTAAGCCGCCCTGAGTCTCCGGAGAAGGGCGGCATATAAATCAAATCAAATCAAATAAATAAAATAAAAATTGGTCTCAAGTTTCACTATATCACTGAGTTTGTACTATGACTAATTACCATCTATTGAAATAGGGTTTTTTTTTCTATCTATGTCCACCAAAAGCTGTTTAGAAGCAGACAGAGGAATCCTCCCTCCCACGTATGCATTTTTAAAAGAATATTTTCAGAATTTTAATTCAGTTTAATTTTGAACCTTATCAGTAAGATTTATCAAGAAGCTCTTCAGTCACCAGAGTCATTTATTTTTTACAATAGAAGATGCTTGTTTAAACTTTTAAAAATTTACCTAGATTTAGGGTCAGACATTAGATTCAAAGTCAGCGTAGAGCAGGGGTGTCAAATTGGCAGCCTGCGGGGCGGATGCATCATGCACAGGCCATGCCCACCCCAGCTCCGCAAAGGGAAAAAATGTCACAAAACATCACATGACGGCAAAGTGACGCTGCAAGTTTGACACCTGTGGTGTAGAGGATAGATTGATTACTGAAGGACGTTAACCATGGGAAAAACACAAGACAAATTTTGAAAATCTCTCTGCTCATGCATCTACAGGGATTCCTCAATTTACAACAGTTCATTTAGTGACCGTTCAAAGTTACAACAGCACTGAAAAATGTGACTTATGACCATTTTTCAGTTACGACCTTTGCAGCATCCCCATGATCATGTGACCCAAATTCAGATGCTTGGCAACTGACTCATATTTATGACTGTTGCTGTGTCCCAAGCTTATATAATCATCTTTTGCAACCTTCTCACAAGCAAAGTCAATGGAGAAGCCAAGTTCATTTAACAACCGGTATACTAATTTATCAACTACAGTGATTCACTTAACAACTGTGGCAAGAAAAGTTGTAAAATGGGGCAAAACTCACTTAACAAGCAAAATGTTGGGCTCCATTGTGGTTGTAAGCTGAGAACTACCTGTATTAGCCCAACCTAGACCATTCTTCCCATCATCCAATATAAGGTTTGCAAGGGATCTAGAAGATCATCTAATAGAGAGATTCTCAACCTCAACCCCCATCATCACCATAGTAAAAGAAATGCTGAAAATGTGCACCAAAGGATATTACTATCAATTCTAGAGACGTAGATAAAATATTGAATTAGCAAAGACCATCTTTTCCCTAGAGCCTGCCAGGTTCCCTAGATTGGGAGTCCCCTTAATAAACAGAAGGAACCCCCTCTATTTGTAACACAACTCAGTTCAAGTGTTTCTGAATACTCTGAAGTGGAAAAATGCAAACTAGTGGTTCCTGAAATTCCATATATGTTATAGTAACTATAATAGCAGATGCCAATATATTATTTGTCAGCATTAATGGTAAACCATTCTAGTTTAGCCTTTTAATCACAGAAAAACACTAACACTAACTCTACCAAAAGTATGACAACGACATGAATTAGCAACACAAGGTATTTGGAAGATGGGGAGGGAAGAGAATCTTTTAAATCCTTTTTATTTGATTCAAATCAACTACCATGCAAAATATATGCTGCATTTTAAATGTGTTTTGTATAACTTTTACGTCAGTAGAATACTTAAATAAAATTCTGAGATATGTTACACCACAGAGGCTTTTAACCCAGCTATTTCTTCCACAATATATAAGTTACTTATATTACTTCTGCAATATCCAAATTGTTCACCAAATTCATTTACTAATCCCTTAATCTCTTGAAAATGTAGGGGCTTTTTTTAAAAAATTCGCAATTCTACTACATTAAGTGAAAATTGATAAACAAAGATATGCACACATACCATCTCCTACTAACAACAGTCTTCTAAATTTAGGGACTTTTACTTTACCAAAAGCAATTAATGAATATTAAACAGGGTGGATACCAGGTGAGACACCCCTAGAAAATAGGTGCTGGCAATGAGAATGACCAAACTACTAACCCCCAGGCACAAGGCCAGGTAAGAATGTGAAACTCCAGAGACCTCCAGACTTCCACTCTGTTCAGTTCAGTTCAGCAGTTCAGTTATCTGCTACAAAAAGCTCTGTTTCCATCAATATAAGATTATCCTTCACTGCAGTCAACCTGAAAAGGCTGCATCGCTTCAATCAGTCATACCTTATATGTGGGTTGAAGAATGCAATGCTGGATATTTTATGAATTTGGGAATCAGAATCATCTCTCTTTTCTATGGACAATGTATATAAATACTGCAGTTATATTTCTGTATTCTCATGGTTAATAGTTTCTAATCCTTTAAAGAAAAAATGCATGTTACTTAAACATTGCTAGGAAAGACAAAAGGCTGAAAACAAAGGGTAAACACAATTCAGGATTAATCTGATAGAAAAGAGAAAACTGAGAGACTTGAACTGCAAATGAATTAACAAAACAGAATTCTCTTCAGGACAAACTCTGCATGACCTACTCTGGAAAGCACTCTAATCTTCTGAAGCAGAGTTAAGTAGAAATGGGAATGTACAATACGGAAGAAATGCCTACCACTTTGGCCATTAATTTTTCTGAAAAACACCATCTGATACAACTCACTGGAACTGAAAAAAGAATTATTTTTCAAAATAAAAGTTAAACTATGCTCAAATTATGCTTATTAAAAGATTTCTATATAAAAGGTAGATGAGAAATAATGTGTAAGGAGGAAATTTTATACCATGCTTGTACTTCCAGTAAATTCAAATGAGCTAATGCAAATAATTTTTACACAATGCTTTAAAAAACTGGAAATTGATTTGATAGTGCAGAACATAGTGGCTCTGGGATCATGATATATTATAAACATATCTCAAACTCTTTTCTTATGCAATGCTTCATAAATATTGCAAAAAGTATTATTTGAGCATTATTGATGTTGCAATTAATACAAATATTAGGATTAGAAGAAACTTAACGTATCACATCAGTTAATATATGAAGACATTTTAATTTCTTTAGCATCACATGACTTTCACTTATCAGAGTAGATATACCTCAGAATTTATTGAAGTGGCAATATGAGCTATAGTTACATCACATTTCTACAAAGTGGGTTTTGGGTGAAAATTTAAAAATACAAGGGATGGTAGTTAGAGTATTTTATGTGAAAAAGAAGAGCAATGTCAATGAAAAGTTAATTTAGAATGAAATGTAGTGGTAAGTTTTCATTCACTGTTACAACACTGGAACTAGGAGAGAACTTATTCATAAATTATCTATTCCCTGCTGTTTCAGATGTCTGCTAATCCAGAATTCAGACGAGGACCCTGCTGGCTCTTAAGACCTAAGTATTCCCTTGGACATTGGGCCAGAATATTGAGTGAATTTATCTCTAGATATTATGGTAGCATATTGGTTAGCATCTCAGTTGCCAATTTGTTCTGCTGTTTTGATATATACTTTTTACTATTTCTATTTTACTTGCACATTAAACTGAATAACTGAGTTGATCTACTCCTAAGGGTTCCCAATATTCTGAAGTCAATTGTCAAAGTGCATAGAGAGTTACAGTAATAAGTCCGGCACCTTGAGTGGAAAGTGTATAATGTTAGATTTATCCTTTGGGGTTTTAAGAGGATTTTTTATATGCCACCAGTGATATTGTGATATAACAAGAAAATTCATTATTATTAAATTTATTGTTAAAAAAAAGAAAAGCTAGGAAAAAATTAATTTATAAGGAAACTAAAACGAAGGAGGGGTTGAAATATATATTTATAGAGTAAGAAAGATGACCTTGATAAATGCAAGCTATCTTGGCAGAACAACAAGAGATCTCTTAAATCTACAAGAGAGATAATATTCAAAAGTAGCACAGACACTTCCCTAGTCCAATGGAGGAGGAGGAGGAGGAGGAGGAGGAGGAGGAGGAGGAGGAGGAGGAGGAGGAGGAGGAGGAGGAGGAGGAGGAGAAGGAAAAAGAAATGCAGCACAGACTTTCAAAATTATGTTGTTGTTGTTGTTAGTAGAAAAGTCATGTCTGATCCATCGCGACCCCATGGACAATGTTCCTCCAGGCCTTCCTTCCTCTACCATCCCCCGGAGTCCATTTAATCTTATGCTGACTGTTTCAGTGACACCATCCAGCCACCTCATTCTCTGTTGTCCCCTTCTTCTTTTGCCCTCAATCGTTCCCAGCATTAGGCTCTTATTATAGCCTATATAAAAGTAGTTTCAGCCTTCTGATTTATTGATCCGATCTACTTAGAGGGGTAAATATCAATCTTGCAAATCTAATGGCTACTGACAGAAAACTCTGAACCAGAGACACTGCTTCAGCAATAGCTGGATATGAGGCCTTGTTTGAGAAATCTAGCTTTAGGGACAACCTCAAATTAATCTAAGAAGCCAATAGTAGAGTTTGTTTTTATTTCAGAGCAATGCTACATGTCTTAAAGGTGGGAGTTATTAATATCTATTAATGATAATTCAGATTGTCACGGTCTGGTGCCACCGAACTCAGAGAGGAGGATGGACCTTTAGATCAGTCCTTCCCAAGTGTCTAATGATTTTTCTTCTCCCCTAAAATCACAGTTTGGCTGACCCTGTAAGCACATCCCAAAATATGGAGGCACCTATAGCCTTGGATAGATTTGTGTCTGCACTGCCTTT